GCGACTTTGGCACCTTCTTCATCGAATCAAATTCTTTTATCATTCAGTTTATGGAACATCCTTCATTATTATTTTATTCTTCCATACTATGTGTCATCATTAATATGTCAATTCCTTTTCATATCATTCCTCACATTAATCAGTTTTTCTTAAAGATTATTTTTTGCATCCATTTTCTGTTTTCTTTTATCTTTTACATCCATTCAGGCTGATATGGTGTCGAGGTGTCACAGAGGTTAAGGCTTCTTTTCATGCATTTTTAATACTATTTACACTAACTGGCACTCTCAATGTAAACATTATATAAATCAGGACTTGTGATTCCTAATTTTAAAAAAAAAAACATCTCCGTCTGAGAGGAAGCCTTAGTTCAGCAGTGAGCACTTATAGGTTGATGATAACGAGTAATAGTCCAGCTGTTACACGCTGTTGAGGCTAACAACCTTCTTTACTAGCCACTACTAATACTTTATGAACAAAAGCGAATCCGATAATAACGAATGCGTTAATTTCGCGCATGACTTTTAAATCATCAACTTTCTTAACATTAGCACGGTCATTGCATTTCGTAATAAATTATTTATCATTGTTGTCTTTGCTTTCTTTCTACACTTCCTATTTTCATTCATAAATTTTATCATACTTGTCTTTTGCAATTTTAGTTAGACATCAACGATAAAAGATCAAATTGTACTTTGACTTATCACTGTAATATTAAAAAATATTTGATTGATAGGTTAATTGTGTGCACTGGATTGAATAAACCCTTTTTTTATTACTCTTTTTATGTTGTATAACCATTATACTTACACTTGTTTGTTCTGTGTTTTATGTGTGTCCTAGACGCGAATTAATACTTTTTCTTTCTTTCTTTTTTCCTATATGCTTCCATGTGCATCGAATTACGCCAAAGAGATCTTTGTTTTTTAAAGATGTTTTTAATATGAATGATTCCACAGTTGGCGCAGTAGCTTTTTCAAATCTCGTGGGCCCGATTACCGCACGGAACAACTCTTTGTGTGATCCACAAATTATTATTCCAGGGCGGGTTACATTGTGCATGTAGTATGTTTCTAAAAGCATCCACGGTTCAAAACAGTCCAATTTATGCAACCTGCCTATTAAAAGATCATTTATTTATTCTCAGTATTTACAATAAACTTGATGATAACAATTTTCCGCTTGACTTGTTCGAAATAAGAAAGTTAATTCAAATTCAGTACAGCCGCTATGTCACGTAGGTCATTATCATTGAATAGTCAACTTGTTTGTGTATGCAGTTATATATATAGAGCAAACGATTTTGGACAGGGCTTTCCAATTTTTCATTTTGATTTTTAATTTTCCAATTTGACTGTTATTATGACTTTTCTTTCTTTTTATTTAAAATGGTTATTATGTGCTTATCATACAGTTTTATTTGCTGTGTGTTCTTCTGTTGGCTTCTGTATATTTTATGCTTATAGCATTTCTTTAAAGAATATCCAAAAGACAACGATTGTTCCAATGCAAACCGTTGTTTCTACAGAGAAATGTGCCTTTACTCTTTTTTATCTGATCATGCAACAAACAAATATATGTATTATTATAATAATATATCACTTAAGCAATTGGTGCCGATCCAACCGCAACAACACAATAGTGAGCACTTATGGGGGTTATGGGTTTTAAGATTAGGGACTTGAGGGTCAAGGATTTGAGGATTCAGGATTTTGTGTGGGAATTATCGATAGGTTATTGGGGATTGTGACTGAATATTAGGGATTGGCTTTATAGATTGGGATTGGGGTTCGACATAGGATTGGTTTTCTTGTAACGCAAATACTTTCAACCAAATAAGAACGATAGAATTATTACAAATGCGATATCGTGTCACGCAAATGTATATGTATAGTAGAAAGTTAAGTGCAATACAATGGCTTGTAAAGAAGGAAGTCGAACTGTGAATCGTTTTCTAGTTATTGATATTTTCACGTATGTAAAAAAATCTGGTGTTTGGTACATGTATGTTCAGACTCACACAATCGATTTTAAGCTTGAGGTCCTAGAACACATTAGGCTGGTTGTGGGTCAAGCTGTCAAGCACATTAACATACCTCAGCCCGAGCAGGAGAAGGAACGGGGTGGTTTTTAGTCAGTAAGAGTCTGACACTCTCTCTCACCTCATCTGGGTGAAAAAAATCATTTGATGATTTGCCCCCTCAAAACAAACAAGTTTACTTAGTACTATGTTAAAAGTTCAAATAATTTAATAGTCTTTGTTCTGAAAGAACCAAATATATAATTCAGGAAGATTTGTTTTTCAATAGGAACTATTTATTTATTTATTTATTGATAGATTCTTTACACGTTAAAAATGAAATCATTAGAACTAAATTGGATATTTGATTCATTACTACTTTTTTTTTAATTATTTTTTTTATATACTTTATGGACCTTTGTCTGAAAAATAAATATATTATTATTATAACAAAAAAAAATAAAAAACTCAGAATGGAAATACAGAAGCGTTGCAACTATAGTTAGACATAGTAGTCAGTCGCGACTAAAATGTTTTATTTTCATTTCGAAACAATAGTGATCCGGCGCGATAGCGATAATCAAATTTTCATGTTTGTGCAGACAGAGTCGCGAATATAATCTTCATATTCATTTATTTTCATTTTCCACTTACTTTTAAGGAACACAATAAATGAAATACAGAATTATATTAGGTATACTAGCAGACCCAGCTAGGCACGTAAATAATATTGTGACTATAAATTGACATGTAAGCTATCTATCTTCCAAGTTGGATCAAAATGCACACGGAATGTAAATAAAATTTTAAAATCGGTTTAGTAGTTTAGGAGTCCGTTGCGGACTAACACGTGACACGAATTTTTTACATACAAAGATTATTTAGTACTTACCTTTATACCATACTTCGAATGGTTTTTTTATGTAATAGGTCGGCAAACGTGCAGACGGATTACCTGATGGTAAGCTATCAGCGCCGCCCATGGACACGAGTTACGAGTTACGAGTGCGTTGCCGACCTTTTAGGGATTAGGAATTTGGAGATTTAGGGATTGAGGAGGGATTGGGCACTGAGCAAGCGTGGTGATCAATGCTCTAACCTTCTCCGTATAAGAAGAGGCCTTTGCTCAGCAGTGGGCACTTATAGCTGATGATGATGATGTTATGTGTAGAAACGGGATTCTTTACCTCTAATTCAGCACGAGGATCGATGCATCCTCATGGCGTGGGTTCGAAAACAAACAAGTTTAGGGATTGAGGAGAGATTGGTAAACAAACATACTGTTAAATTACTTTTTAAGTACATTGAGCACTTTATAACTTACATATGACCTATCTTTGATGTGTAAATATTCAAATACTCACGCAATTATTTCTTCGCACGAGCTGATGTGATTGCTCTCACGTGAACAAAATTTCTTTGATGCTTAAATATGAGGAAGAACAAATCGAATATGGCGCCTTTTAATTGCTATTATGACGCCCTAAATTGGCGGAAAGTATTCATTTACTAAGTTAAGTGTGGCAGGCTATACTTCGGCAAGTAATTTGGCTCGACCTGAAAAATCTTTGAACTATTTATTATTGCTACACAAACATATAAATTGAACTTAGAAATACCAAGGCCTCACAGAACAACGGCGTGTGGGTTTCCAATCAATCGATTCAATTGATATTGATTGATTCATATGATGGCACCGTTGGTGGGGTAGCTGGGCAACTGGCTGCTTAAAACGTGTCGTGGGTTTGATTTCCGCACAGAACAACACTTTGTATTTTTTTATGGTAAAGGTCGGCAAACGAGCAGACGAATTACCTGATGGTAAGCAATCGGCTTCGTCCATGGATACCCGCAACACTAAAGGAGTTACTAGTGCGTTGCCGGCCTTTTAGGGATAGGGGCTGCGGATATAAGGATCGGGAAGGGATCGGGAAAGGGGAGGGATTGGGCCTCCACAAATTGTTGTTCCGGGTCTGGGTGTGTATGTGAAATTGTATGATTGCAAACGCACACACAACACAGGAGAAAATTTTAAAGTGGGGCAACGCTTTTTAAATGAATAAATACCAAAATTCTAATCCTCAAAAAGCCGCCATCGCTCGTAACAATTCTGGTATCGTGGATGTCTATAAGGGTGTTGATTGCTTGCAAAGCTTCTCTGACTGTTCGTTTGCCTTCCAATCCATAAAAAAATAATACTTCTGATTTACTGAAAATATCAAGGACAAAATTTCTGATAAAAAATATGAGCATCGTTACATTTAAACAACTCTTCATCAGCTCTGTAGACCATGGACAAGTTCGAATATTAGAGATCAAATTAAATCCTTTGATCCTCTTATACAACTCTTGTATATACTTCAATGAATTTGAAATATGTAGTTGGCAAATTTATCTAACTAGAAATAAGAGTTCAGATATACATGAAAACACATCTGTGATTCAATTGAATTATCATTAGATAGCTTTTTAAAGTTTAAGAGCTGAATTGTGACCAATAAACCGAACCTAAGTTATTTTTCTAAAATTAATAGTGTATCGATTAAATTATATCATTTTTCAATAAAATATATATTACTAGCTCTTACCCGCAGCGTTGCTCCCATCATTTGACCACCTACCCTACTCTACCTACCCGACTCTACCTACCCTACTCAACCTACCCTACCTACCCGACTCTACCTACCCTACTCTACCTACCCTATTCTACCTACCCTACTCTACCTACCGTACACTACCTACTCTATCCTATCCTATGTCCTTCTCCTGGCTCTAAACTACCTCCCTGCTAATTTTCAGCTAAATCTGTTCAGCCGTTCTTAAGTTATAAGTGGAGTAACTAACACGACTTTCTTTATGTATATACAGACTATGTATGTTGCTAAATAAGTTTTAGACTTCATACAATTTTCAATTCTTTTGAAGTGAAAATAAATCAGTATTTTCATTGAAACCTTTTTCCCACAGATCATAAATAAAGATGTTGAGTCAAGCGCGATGGCTGATGCTGGCGATAGCAGCTATGCTGACGCTGCAGTCGAGGGGTGACGGTGGCATCAGGCTCCCTGATCAGCCACCAAAAGAACAAACTGAAGGAAGATCTTTAAACTTCGGAGGAGATCCTGGACGATCGGTGAATATTTTATTTTATATGATAGGATTTTTTAACTGGTACACGAATATCTAGAGGAGTGGTTTGCCGGCCATTTATAAGCTAGTTTACTTGGGAGAATTGGGCCTACTATAAGAGTAGTGTTTCTTGTGAGTGTTTTTTGTGAGTGAGGTTACCCGAGGCCCAATCCTTCCCCTACCCCAATCCGTTCGCTTTCCCAAAATCTCCAAATCTCTAATCCCAAAAAGTCGACAAGGCACTCGTAACTCCTCCGTCGTTGGTAACACGTTTGCTCGCTTGCCGACCTATAGCATAAAAAATCTCACTTGCATAATACAAGCGTTGTTTCACGCCAGAATCGGTGAAGCCGTAATTAATAGTCAAAACAATTGCCAAATACTAAGCATTGACACTATACTAAAACTTTACAAATAATTTCTAAAGAAAAACAAAAGTGAAAAAAACAAAGTGTAGTGTTGTTTTATCGTTATATATAAAAAATTGTTACGTGTTTGTCCGCGATGGACTCCTAAACTTGTGTTAAGAATGTCCAATTACTTTCTGACTTCATCTAATAGCTAACGTCTTATTAAAATCTTTCAGCCTCAAGCTCAAGGCCGTGGTCTTCTGGACTGGCTGGGTCTGGGTGAAGACCAGGACCCTTACATTCAGCAGGCCACCCAGCAGTGCATCAATGGAGACCTGGCAGACTGTTTCAAGGCTCAAGCTTTGCGGTCTTTTGACGACTTCTTTGATAAACAGGCTTACCAGTAAGTTGATCGTTTTCGTTAAGAGAATTGATTTTATTGGAAATTGGCATAGCAACTGTAATTATTATGGATTTTAAAATGTGACGTCACAATTATAAAGCGTCATCGACCCTCTACCTCCCCTTTATCGATGGATAACGGGTCCAATAAATGGCATGAAATTAATGGAAATGTGTCATCTGGGAATCGGGGATATCTTGTACACTTACTTACTTTTATTTAACACTTTCGGCCTTATTACAAAACAAGGTTTTACTTTAGTCTAGGACTAAACCATTGAGCCAGTTTTTGTATTTCGAATTGAAGGTAGATGACAATAAGATTCAAAATTCAAAACAAGACTCAATGGTTTAAACCTGGACTAAAGATAAACCTTGTTTTGTAATAAGGGGGTTTAAGTTTACCTAACATACAAACGCGGAAAGTATTTTCTTCCTAAATTATCTCATGTTTGATTAAAACCAATTTTGATGCGTTTTCTCCTTGTTCTTGTTGTATTGGGTTTTGCTAAAGAGTTGTTGTTGTACTTTAGTCTTTAAGCGCAAGATTAAAAAAAAACACATCATCCTCTTAAAGCTGGCAACGTAGACTAATTCCACTGGTATTGCTGATGTCCATGGGAGGCTCTGATTGCTTACCTTCAAAAAACCTCTGAGCTCTTGCTTGCCATCATAGAACACGACAAAAAAATCCAATCGGAATATTGGAACTCTGAAAAAAATTCGAATCCCGTCTTCCGCATCCCCAATTTGATCGGGAATCTGTGATGCATTTTTTCGTTTGATTTAATAGATACTATTGACGTTATGTTACCACAAATAGCGCTTTTGACTTCATTTAGTGAGCCGGAACATAGTGAAATGATATATTCTGGATTTTTCATTGTTTGAAGGGTCTTTTTATTTGACTTAAAATTCGATGATGGAAGGATGAATCGAAAAATCTATCTTAAATCCTATATATCTCTGTTTTATAAGATTGATATTAGTATAGATATATAGAGAAACATTTTAATGACATTGTTTCTTGTCATTTTGGAGTGCAATTTGTAAAAAAAACAAATACACTGCTTAGCAAAGACCTCTCACACGGAGAAGGAGAGAAAGATCTCATCACGTTTTAAACTTATAATAATTAAAAATCATAAGTCCACAATTCATCACAATATTTCCCGTAACCCTATGTCAATGGTGTCTAAATAATCATAGAAAGAGCAAATGACTCAGAAAAAGTAACATTGCTAATATGACTTGCCAGGTTTTGGAACCGCACCCTTTATGCGTGAGAAGTAGGTGCCTTAACTTTCAGGTTACCACGGCATGCCTTCAACCTTAAGTCTGTCTTATAATAACGACACTAATTGAGACATAAATTTAAAACCATGGTTCCTTGTCACAATAAACATATTATTAAATCAAAATAATTTTGGACCAACTATAGCTACAACTGCTTCAATGCAATCTTCAGACTAAAGAGACAGTTAACTTACTTAATGGAATTGTTATAAAGCCGAGGTTCCTACTGTTGGCCGTTAAAATGATATCTTATGAACCCATGCCCCTGGGTTCCACTCCATATACAATGTTCATCTAGAATTTACATAAAACAACCCTAATATATGGGTAAACCCTTTTCAACGCAATATTCTGCATAATTAATACGACACATATACCTATTAAATTAGTATAAATTATTATTTGAAGAAATAGATTTATGACCGTCGCGGCGTCGGTAACAATTTATTTATTAACTGGCTACTCGACTTTCACCTGCTGCTCGACTCCATTTGATCAAAGAGTGATGTTTTATTTTTATAGTAAAAGAATTTTGGCAATCCGACCAGCGGTTCCAAAGATACCCTACATACAAACTCACAAATTGTAACTCTGATTCACATTAAACTATATTTTTTTCAACACATAGTTTGTTTTTTTGTCAAGACCAACTAATAGAAACTCCATAAAATTACTTTCCAGGTTATCAGAAAACGCAGTCCTTGTGAAAGTAGACTCGCAAGCCCGTGCGTTGTCGCGGGAGCCCCCTCAACTGGATTCGCAGCCACGCAGTGAAGACTCCGACTGGGAGGCTCTCGTCAAATATGGCATGAGGAAAATTGAAAGGTAAATAAAAATCTAAAATCGAAATTCCCGAAGATTCCATGCTTCGGTACGAATGGGTCGACTTGACCGGAAGTATACCACGACCCCACAGAAAACCGGCATGAAACAACCAGAGCGTTGTGTTTCGCCGTGTGAATGAGGTTACCGGAAGTCCAAACTTGCCCTCCCCCAATCCCAAAATCTCCAAGTCCCTAATCCCCAAAAGTCGGCAACGCACTCATAACTCCTCCGCTGTTGCGGGTGTCCATGGGCAACGCTGATTGCTTACCATTAGGTAAACGGTTTGCTTGTTTGCCATCCTATCACACATGAAAAAGGTATTCATTCCTCTCTGTACCACAACAAAAACATTATTACGTGTGACATAACATAACTAAATTGAAAACAACGAGTTACGTGAATGAACTGAGACACTACTAGTTTAATCCTGAAAAACAATTGTAACAAAAAACAACTCCAATTTGTTTCTTTTCTTTCTAAATCGAATGATATCGAAGTTTCGATTGCACTATTCCCAGAGAACAAATACAGTTGCCTGTTTCAAACAGTTCCCTGGCAGAGTAAGCACGGTTTCATTGCCAAATTTCTGTAATGAACATATCTTTACATTTACATTTGCATATTACAAGCTCCGTAATAATGGAGGCGCTGTTTATAAGAAGGGTTGCCATTGTAGCTGAGCAAGTATCTATTTAGTAGGAACATTATAAAGGTTGTTTAGTAGCCAGAGGGTAAAGTTCTCTTAGGTCGAAAATAGGTCTTAAAATCTGTAATAAGCCACAACTTGTTTAACACCCAAAGTATTCATTTCCATGGCCGGCGCCTTCAGGCGATTCTTAGCCTTTCTATATCATAAATCTCTCGTAAACATGTATTATCTGGTGGGTCCCAACAATTTCTTTGAAACAACGTTGCCTCACACTAGGATTTTCTCCTGTGTTGTGGGTTTCAAACATTCAATTTCACATACACATCACACCCAGACCCGAAAAAACAATTTGTGGATCACACAAAGTATTGTTCCGTGCGGGAATCGAACCCGCGACACGTTGCACGGCAGCCAGTTGCCCAGGCACCAATCATGCAGTCCAATTGTCTATCGCAAAGTTAGTCTGAGCGCAAACGTATCATTTGAGACGTAATCCTGTGATTGTTTTATGAGTAGCCACATTTATGTTTTGTAGGTCAATAGTTATAATTCAATTTTGCAACAAATCATTTGTCTATTCATTCATCATTGATCTAAAACAGAAGTTCATTTTTACTTCCAGATTCTTAAGGTCGACAGCTTTGGAGATGCAGTTGGATGAAGAAGTGACATCTCGCGGTGTCATCGCTCCACGCTTCATAGAACAGATAGCTGATGAAGTGGACATCATTGAGGATAAAAAAGCACCTTTCCGTAAGTGTTATAATTATATTTTACTAGCTCTTACCCGCGGCGTCGCTCCCATCATTAATTTGACTACCTACCCTACTCTACCTACCCTACTCTGCCTACCCTACTCTACCTACCATAATCTACCTACCCTACTCTACCTACCCCACTCTATGTACCCTACTCTACCTACCCTACTGTACCTAACCTACACTACTTACTCTATCCTATCCTCTGTCCTTCTCCTGGGTCTAAACTATCCCCTGCTAATTTTCAGCTAAATCGGTTCAGCCTTACTTGAGTTACAAGTGGAGTAACTAACACGACTTTCTTTTATATATAGATTACTGTTTGCCAATGTCCCGGACTATGTATCAGATAAATTAGAACGTAATTTGTTTCTCGGCTTATCGAATATTTTTAGCCGGGATTACGAGTGCAAGCTCAATAATATACCGCGGCTTCTGACTAGAGCAGGTGAAGGAACGGGATAGTTTTTAGTCAGTAAGAGTCAGACACTCCTTCTCGCCCCACACTAGGGTCTAGTCAATAGCTGAGACACCGAACGTTGTACGCTTAAAAATACTTATTAGGTACTTACAAGTATGGAAGTGGGAAAACAGACGTTTAGTTTTCTTATGTACCCAATATTTTATGACTTTGCTTATATCTATATTATTGTTTTACAAAGTACAGCAAAAACTACTTAATACATGAAATCAAGATCATGTTCTAATACTTAGTAAAAAAAAACATTTTAAAGGCATTTTGAATTGAGAACTTTTGCTGGTCGTTTCTCATTAGGAATTCGATGTTTAATTTATTTTTGTCATTTCAAAACTAATTTACCTAATATTCATTCCAAAATCTAAATCGATATTTTCTTTCTTTTTTTATCGATTTTAACTTTGTTCATATTTGATATCTAATTACTAAGAGAACTAACAAAATTCAATCAAATTGCCATTTAAGAATTGGAATTTTCTCATTAAGATAATCAATAATCAGTAGTAACTAGTTTCGTAGTACTTACTATATGTTACTAATAATTTATACAAAAACCATCATTATTATAAAAATGTAGTTGCTTATTTATTTAATTTACACAGTTAATCTGGAGATTAATTGCGTTACTTTCACTTTAACAGCCCTTGATAAAAGGCTCCATTGCAAGAGTATTAAATTTTACTCAAAAGGTATTTAGTACTTGAATGCCAGCCTAACAAACGTCTAGAATTTACAGTAATTTTAAACCCTTTTATTATTTAATTTAGAATCTAGATTTGATTAACAAAGTGCTATGTTTTAGTGTTAAAATGAGAGCTATTAATTTAGATCATTATTCTCTTGAAAATAAAATAAATGGGTAAAGTATTAATAATAGTAATGTTCTCATAAGATTCCAGCCACTTAACTGTTTTATATTCAATCTTATAATAATTTCGTAAAAGTTATTTAGACAAATGCTCGTTTTTTTTTCAATCAAAAGTTTAAGAAGCAATTAAGCGAGATAAGCTATATTAGTTTTCGATTTCTTATTCAATCTTCTGTTTTTATCTTTATCATAATTTGTAGGGTAATTCATATACATATGTATAGTGTTGATGAAAAGCATCCTACGAACAACAATCCAGGGTATCATCAACTATCTGTTCAGCCGGGGTTGCGGGTTAAGCGCAGTGAGTCACCGCGGCCTCGGCCCAGAGCAGGAGAAGGAACGGGGAGGTTTTTAGTTAGTAAGAGTCTGACACTCCTTTAGTCAGTAAGAGCCCGACCCTGGGCAAGAGAAGTCATTTGATAAGGGTATCATCGAACTGCATACCAAATTTCAACCGAATCGGTCTAGCTGTTTTCGGGAAAAGAACAACAAACATACATCCGCACACATTACAAACTTTCACATTTAAAAAACTAGTAGGACTAGTATTATGTATGATCATCGCGATAAAACGAATCAAAGCCAAGCAGCAATATGATCTAACACGAGCCTATTATCTTCTTCATCCTCCAGGTCAACACAAGCTGAAGAAGCTGATCATCCCCATGTTGCTGATCCTCAAGCTGTTCAAGCTTAAGCTGCTTCTGTTCCTGCCCCTCATCCTCGGTCTTGCCAGCTTCAAGAAGTTCCTCGGATTCATGGCTCTCATCATTCCTGGTACGTTCCTAGTCATCAATTCGTCAAAGCAATGATTATAGCAAGGAACTTTTCTTTGATCAAAACAGCATTTAATTCTTTTTAACAATTGATAAGTACCTAAGTAGGTACTGCTATATAAAATCAATCTTCTTTAAATTGTTATCAACTTAAATATTCAACCAAGCTAACAAATTAGTTTTACTAACGATGACTTATAAACCTAACTCACAATAATGTTCCAAAATTCCAAAAAGAACAACAACAAAATTAAAAAAAATTAAAACCATCCAGTTCCGAGTCGAATTCGCACAAAAGGATCCGTAGCAAAATCATGTTTGTTGCTTAGAGCCTTTCCTTACATATTTATTTTATTTTAGCCGCTTTAGAAATATATATTTAATCCAAATTTAAACTATGTAGCTATCACGGCACATTAGATACAGCTTAATGACAGACAGACAGAGAGATAGACGGACTGCTCTGCCTTAATGCTAGTCTTATAATTTATAAAAACATAATGAGCATTTCAATAGGTCTGAGAATCGGCTACTCGCTATTTTTCATACCTCTAAGTAATAAGGATTATTTACCCATAACATAATTTTTCTAAATAATTTATGCTAGTTATAGCTAGTATATAGATATATTTTGTTTTAATGACTGCTTTTTTTTCTAGGTGTGATTGGCTACTTCAAGTTCTGCAAGCCCAACTCCTCGCCATTCGCCTCCAACCACTACTCTGGACCTCACTACAGTCCCGCTGGCATTGGCCTTGGACCTTACAGGGAAACCCCACCCCAGTCACATTACGCTTCTCACTATGATAGCTATCCTGTAAGTATTTTTATTTTTGTATTAGAAAATTCGTAACATATAATAATTAAATTTATGTTGTTCATAATAATGAGCCCTCGAAGTGGCTTGAAATTAGACGATCTAACTTGTGCATACCAAAAGAAATTGTAATTAACAACACCAACAACTTCTAAAGGTTAGAGCTGAGGAGTAATCTCATTTTCACGTCGATTTGATTTGAAAATACAACGTTGTTTCACGCCTGTACTCTGCATGGCCATACTCTCACGCGAGGTATCACTCCGATCGATTCGGCCCATTATGCCAAAGCATGACTCTCTTACATCTATTTATGATCCTGACATTCATTAATCCCACATTCAACCTTATTTGTAATAGAATTAAGAGTTAATTTTAAGCTTTTCGAAGATTCTAATAAATGTTTCGTCATTTCAGGGTGGTCACAAATACGGGTCTGGTGGTGGAATTTCCTTCAGGGAGCATGATGTCAGTCCCCAGGACCTGGCATACCAGGGTTGGGAATACAGGAACAAGCAAGGAGCTGAAGACATCAAAGCTGAACCAGCTTAAGACTGATAGCGTGAAGTAAGATTTATTTTAGACAATAAGTATTTAGTCAAAGACTCGAGTTGATGATCAGGATGGTTAGAATATTCAGAAAATTAATCTGGTTAGTACATTATCATTTATTTTTAGTTTATTTTCGTCCACAGCTGGACACAAAGGTCTCCAGAACATAGTCTGTTTGTATACCAAATCTCATTAAATCCCATTCAATAGTAAAACGCTGGACATATTTACATTCGTCCCCAACGGCATTCAAATATAAAATAAGACCATCTTTATTTCCAGAAGACATATTGAAATGGAATGAAATATAATATCTTGTAATCTCATTATACCTACCTATAGAATTATTTCAAACAAGTAAAATTAAATTTCTATATTTAAAATAAATTTCAATTAAAGATTTACTCGCATTTGTATTAAATGATCAAAAGTAAAATTCATTTGGGGTAGGTTATTGAAGAAATGTATAATATGGTCAGACTGATATTAATCTCCTTTGATGGATTTTCAACCTTATCATCATTGTCTATCCCAATTTTATTTAAAAAATCTTTTGTAGCTTTCTTCTATTTTGGTAAATTCATACGACATTATTGATTTTGGCGCTCCTATTCTGCTTTCAGTGTTCCAACTAGTTTAGCTTTTGAAACAAGATCATAAATTACATTGGGATAACCATTTGGACTATATCTGTCTAGAATAGAATGCACATTAATCCCGAATAGTTAATGATCAACTGTTAACAGTACCTTTAGTTATACAAGTGTTAAATTTACTGCAGGTGCTTTGTCATCATTTATTTTTACTGTTTCTTTTTCTTTATCGATTTTCCCCAATACTTCATTTGAAGCATGCTTAAGCTTTATCAATTATATGTTGACTTCTACCTATCTCTCTTCTTTAATATTATTTACTGTACAAACTTCGTTTAGTTCATGTACTTTTAAGTAGATTTTTCCTGCATCGTCTTTTTACTTTATTAGTCAAATTAGTGTCAATATTGATAAAATAGTTTTTAATACTTTAAATGTTTTAAAAAATGTTGGTATTGAGATTGTTCGACGTTATTACATCATGAAATTTTTTAATGAGAAGATGATATGTTTTTAGTTGTTATTATAACATTTTATTTCGTTATCAGGGGACAATTAAAACAATTCTTTCTTAAAAATTTGCTTGAAAATTACGAATGTAAAGTACATCCTGAAATAATCTATAAGTGTGATTATTTACTTATATGTTTCAATTGTATTTAAATGTCGAAATAATTTATTTTTCGATAAGTCAGCCTAATTAATTTTGTCTACTTACTCATCCTTTGAAATGTCTTTTGTACATGTAGTGTGAAATTATATGAGATTCATTTTTCTTAGTGTAATTTCATCTTGATATAAAAGGTAGTTAACTTTAATGTTGAATAATTATTGTTTAATTGTTTTGTTTTGTTTTCCACGAAAACTTATTCGTGTTGTGTTAAGTGTAAACATTTTGAAATGATAGTATCTATCTTGTCATGTTTATGTCAAATTTGACATTTTAAGTTAACGATTGTAATATTATGTGTATATTTTTAATTTTTACTTAATTTTAAGCTATGTAAATTATTTTCTGCTTAATATGTGAATAAAGTGTTTTTATTTTTATAATCATTTGTATTTTTTTTATTTGAAATACCTCACTAGGTTTTGTATGTTAAATATAGCAGTGCTTACTATTTATTCCAATCAACTAACAACCAATTTCCAATTGTTTACTTGGAGCTGGCTGATACTATCACTAAGCTCTCTGTAGACACTCTGTGCCATTTATGGGGTAAATTCCCCGCTACATTCAACTGCCCTTCATACCCCTGCACGGCTTTTTTTTTCAAGGGAAAATCATCAAATGACTTTTCCCAGCCAAAGTGAGGCGAGATGAAGTGCCAGACTCTTACTGACTAAAAACCCCCGTTCCTTCTCCTGCTCTAGGCCGAGGCCGCGGTGCCTCATTGGGCTTACCCCGCAACCCTGGCTGAGCATTATCCCTAATAGTGCCCCGTCTGTAATGGTTTATTGGCTCTTGCTCAGCTGACATACGAATAACACCTTTACCAACAAATCCTATGGCCTTTTCGATATGGGTTCCTTCAATATTGACGGTGTTCTTAGACGACAGTGCAGATGTAATAAATAAAATTGGAAATCAAAATTTATCAATTCATTTACTGGATAAGGGAATCGACGTCAAAACTACATGCTCAACAATGAATTAATTACCTGATGGTAAGCAATCAAAAACGGAGGAAGAGGAGTTACGAGTGTGTTGCTCACCTCTCGGTGATTAGGGTTTTGGGGATTTAACGAGCTAAGATCGGACCTTGGTAACCTCACTCACATGGCGAAACACAATACTTTCCAATGTAAAGTTATAAAACTTTAATTGATATATTGCGAAAAGGTCTTAATGTAATTAAGTGTATAATATTTTGATTTTTATATTCCTTAGCAACACCGTATCTTAGTTTCATTAATGTAACCTAATAGTCTAAGGACAGAAGGTATTATAAAGGCATACGATAAAATATTTTTCTCTGTTGCAATTCAAAGTGAAAGGAATTAAATACTAAATGAACAACGAACTCTGATATTCCATTTACATCAAAAGCGCCATCTGCCGGTTGTTTATTAAAACACCGTTTGTTTTCGTTGAATTCACAGAAATTATGTCGCGAATCATAATTTTAAATTAAATTTACATAAACATACGTAATTAGCTGTTCTTTAATTATACTCAAAGGTTCGTTTTGGTTGTAAATTAAGTGAAACATGTCATTCATACCAAAATTGTTTTGAGTAAGTACCACATATTCTTTTTCCGCAATTCGTAGGTGCCAAGTACCAAATTTGTATTTCCAAGAATCAACTTTGAAGGTACGAGATATAATTATGTAACCCGGTACGAACCATGGCCAGGTTTTTCGTAGACAAAGTAAATTTGCGCATTGTGATTTATTTCAATACTAGCTTTTGCCCGCGACTTCTTTCGCGTGGAATAGTCACTTCTTGCCGATTTTTGGTTTAAAAACTATCCTATGTTCTTTTTCTAGTTCCAAACTTAGGTCTCCACCAAATTTCACAGAAATAGGTTCAGTAGTTTAGGATTGAAGAAAGAGTTACTTTCGCATTTATAATATTACTTTGTTTGGATTTGGATTTCTCAATTTCACTCCCAATACATTTTTCGTATTAATTTGTTACTTTTTACCAATAATGATATAAACATGATTAATAATAAATGATGGAAATCACTGTGTAATGGAATATAAAATTAAATGAATGGAATGGGAAAATACATAATTCGTGACATTACCCTTTTTTGAGGGTGGCAAATCATGAAATCATTTCTGACGACCTGGGTGGGGAAGAGTAAAAGACTGCTACTAACTAATATCTACCCCGTACGTTCTCCAGCCCCGGTCCTGGACAGTGATATATTATTGCAACCACAACCCCGACTGGACATCGGCTCTAGTGGCCACCCTAACCATAAATTAATAATATGCTCCTGCTATTTGGCCCTAACTCGTAAAGAATACAAATCAGTTGTTATGAGAAAAAGACCAAATTTTTAATAGCAACTTATTTTATTAAAAAAGATGTCAGCAATTCAAAAACTGATCTGAGGAATTACACTTACATACAACAAAATTCTGAAGCTAGTAGTAAGAAGATTAAAGTATATAATATAAGAATAGGAATAACACAATCTGCAATGGTTTTTGTGTTAGCTATTTTTAAACTTTATTTATTTATTTATTAAAACTTCATGCACAATGGGTACATAGGCGGACTTAATGCCTTAGGCATTTTCTACCAGTGGAGCCTTGGGTGATGCAGAGATGAGCCAATGGTCGGTGCAAGAAGCAAGCAAACAGACTTAAATTTAAATGAGTGAAGACGAGATAGATACATATATATGTGCAAATATTACTTTATGGGTATTTTTTTTTCAATTTATGGGATAAGTCAACAACTTTGTTTGTCACATCACACCCTTACTCCACGGCCCTTTACAATAGGTTCTTATATACAACTTATTAAATTAACTTTATCATTATCTTCGTTTAGTTATTTTTTGTTGAACATCCATATATTGCTTAGTTCCTACAAATAGAAATTTAATGATATCGGTTCCAAAACTAAGTCTTTTTCAAGCAAAATTTTGATCCAGCTACGAGCAGAATTATTAAATATTTTTTCTTCTTTGTGATCAAAAAATACAACAGCATCATTAACATACTACCAATACTTCTTAAAATGAGCACTAACTACATTGTAATCATTCTTTTCCTTCAAGAATTTGACTTCGTCAAAATCTTTCAAAATGAACAGATCTCTTGCTTGTCTCTTGTCTCTCTTGAAGTTCTTATGCATTTGGTGGAAAGGCATCGGGTACCGTGGCAGTTTATTGTTGTACTTCTTCATTCTCTTTCTCTGGTTGGACGGCGTTGTCGTTTCATCCCTTCTTGGCGAATAATCATCTTGAGCGTTTTCGTACGACTTCGGGACCATGGTTGAATCGCTCGTCATCTTCATGACATACAACTTCCTTATTTTAGCCCTGTTCTTCTTTATTATCTTCTGTATAGTCCGTTTTGGTGATTTCTTTTGTGATTTTCTTATCGATTTCTTGTCGTCGTAGTATTTTTTCATTGTTGGTAGTCGAATCAGATTTTCTGATTTGTCAATGTATGTTATGTTGTGTGGAGTCTGCGGGAAAATAACAAAATAAATACTCATGAAATCGTGACCAAATTTAATCATCTCAAAATGATACTAAACGAAAGCCTGCATAGGCTAACTCGACCAAAGGCTCGACCAAAACCTGCATAGGCTACGAGTTATATGTTGGTGTCATGGATCTGATTTAGAAGGCATTATTTTTTGTAACGGCCCGAATTTGTCTGAAAAATCCTTATACTGGAGCCTTTACCACCAGTGGCTTAGATTCCTGACTTTTTATTTGTATTTATAAAAGGAAAAATTCAAAATAAAAAAAATAAAAATGATGATCTATATAATGCTTTTCTAGTGTCTACTCGACAATTTAATTGAGTTTAGAAAAATAAGGGCGCCGAGTTTCCTTAACAATTATCTGTATAAAACGTTTCCTAATATACTTAAGTACGTAAGACAATCAATTAGATGCTTGAAAAGTAAAGTCGACAACATAAACTCTCTACTCCTTATTGACTTGACTTGACTTTTTAATATAATTAAGCCTAGCGCGTTTTCTCAAACAATGAAGCTAATTGGACGGTCTTTTAAAGATTGTTTTTAAATATCGTACCTTAATTGATAAACGATGTAACAATGTAGAACCCTGTTTTTATAATAACTATCGTGAGACATGCTAAATTAACTAAAAATCGCGGGTTACTCACGTGTGTATATTGAGAAAAGCTCTACTAGTTTCGAACCACAGAGGGGTTCTTCCTCATGATCATCTGTGGTTCGAAACTAGTAGAGCTTTTCTCAATATACACACGTGAGTAACCCGCGATTTTTAGTAAATGTAGAACCCTTTAAAAAAAAAACAAAAAAAAAAAAGAACGAATTGTCAAAAAACACTAGCACACACTGGCATTAGAAAAACAAACAGAAGAAGCCTAATTAAATGTATATCTTTACGTCTAATATCGGAAAACATATTGAAACTGTAAATAGTAACATATGCTTTTAACAAATAAAATTATCATTATCGTTGTATTTAAGCTGGCTGCGCAACGTCGTCGCGACGCGCACGCTGCTCATGAATAAGAGTCCCGTTGTTACTTGAAACTAGTAGAGCTTTTCTCAATTAAACCACGTGATAAAGCGGTTACTTAAAAAAAATAGTATGTCTCACAATAGTCACTATCCAAAAATAGAAATCAGAAGAGCTGTAAACCCAAAATCATTTTTTTTGTAATTGGTCGGTAAAACAGCGGACTGATTACCTGGTGGTAAGCAATCAGCGCCGCCCATGGACACTAGTAGTACCAAAGGAGTTACTACAAGCTTGTGGGTTAGTAAGGATAATTTGAAGATTGTGCATGTGGAAAGAGGGAAAAAATAGGGCCTCCGGTAACCTCGCTCAAACGGCGAAACACAACGTAAGTATTGCTTCACAGCGGTTTTCTGTGAGATCGTGGTATCACTCCAGTCGAGCCAGCCCATTCGTATCTAACCCACGTTTCTACACCCACACTTTATATTAAATGACAAAAAATAAAGAAGAAGCACAATCAAACACACGAAAACAGTGAAGGAATGTTAAAACAAAATAATATTACTCCTTTGGGTTTCCAGAAGTGCTGTTGCCAAGGCTTGACCACGGATGTCGATATCACCCCCTAGGAGACAAAGCGCCAAAGAAAATGTTAATAACAGCCATTCGCTACTATTGAAGCGATTATATTATCATTGCAGCACCGAAGAAAACTAGCAAAAGTCAGTCTGCAAATACTATGGTCCAAATAAAAACACGTTTACCGAATTCGTTTTTTCATCCGCTGATGAGATCTCCAATTTGTCCACATTTTTACTAAGGTTTGATGGAATCTGGAATAGAAGAAAATAATTGTTGATTTATTACTTTTATTTGGCTCCTTTGTTTATCTAGGCTTTTTGTGAGGGAAATCAAATCAAATCAAATTCTTTATTTCAAATAGACCAAAAAAAGGCACTTTTGAACGTCAAGCAAAGAAGATATCATAAAGTTTAACTTTATATGTGTCAGTCTGTCCGTCTGTCCTCCGGTGAAGCTATTTGCTCGTTCCAAAGTGTAGATTCCTATGGAGAAGAACGAGCAAGAAACTCCATGGTTACTCTTTTTCAATGCATTGTTACATAATTTAGATAGTTCCATTATGTGAGAACAGTGTAACACTAGTGTTTAACCAAAGGATCCGAAAAATCATCAAATAAAGAGAATCAGAGAAGAGTGTCAGACTTAAAAACCCCCGTTCCTTCTCCTGCTCTAGGCGCGCAGAACGCGATACGCTCAGGTGTTTATTTTGGTTAGAATTTAAATGGTTATAAGTTTCAATTCATAGCCCTTCAATCCCTCCCCAGTCCCTAGATCCCGAAAATCCCAATTTCAAAAAGGTCGCAACGACTCGTGATGTATGTGTGAGTGTCAATGTCGTCCTTTAAAAACTTATCATATACATATCATTCATCTTCAATAAGTGACAAAGTTTTCTAAAATTCACGCAGATTTCGCCCGCAGTACTAGCAAACCTATCATATACATACAAACACACTATTTCAGTGCAAAACTTCATTCGAATACGGTAAATTTTTTTTTACTTGTATAAGTAACGAGCACCACTTTTTTGAAAAAATTTACAAGCATCAATCCATCCGTTTACCTACAAACTTTCGCTTTACCGTAAATAAATAAGCAAGATATACATAAGAAGAGAGAATATAAAACATACCGATTCAGCGACACAAAGAAAATTAATGAAAACTGATGAAATTAACAATGGTCGGTACATTATATTCACAACTATACTTTCAAATGAGCACTTTTCTAAAAACTTGGAACTTTTATAAACTATTCTACTCGATAACTACCGCGGTAACTGTAAACACCATTGTTCTGAGCGGCCATGTTGAAAAAAACCCTAACGACTTTGAAAATATAACGGATATGACCTTAGTGAGGTTTTTTTTCATTCCTTATTGGTTTTATTATCAATTCTTAGACTAAACACGATTTTGAAATTGGCACAGAAACATACATACATCTTGTAAAATATAAACCGTATTTACGGTTACTGTTTAAAAAATATCCTGTGTTTTGTGTCATTAAGTTAATGACTGTAAACGAATGTCATAAATGTCGTGATTGAAATTAAAATATGTCTAAAGATTTATTTTATTTATTTATAATAAAGCGTCTTGAAAGTGTAACGAGTCGATTATAAAATAAATAAACAATTTTACTCAAATATAAATAACTTTTAACAAGACAGAAAATAAATAATGAATCGTTTTATTTAATTTAAAAGGCAAATTTAATTAAATATTTTTAAAATAAATTTTATAATTGAAATAAACAATATTCAAAATTTTAATAACGCAAAAGCTGTAACATTGTTTTAAATAAATAAACTAATAGATACTTTTTGCTCTATGATATCAATGAAAATATATCAGTAATATAAGTGATTCCAAGTGCATAGATATTTTAAAAATCCTGTGTTTGTTTTTCTGTTTGAAGTTTTGCTGTGTAAAATGGTTTCAAGTTCTGAACTGTATGAATGGACTAAATAGATTTATGAAAACTCGGTAGACATCAGTATGAGTATCAAGGTGAGTTTAGAATTAGTATAATCCTACTAAGGTAGGAGAGTCGTGTTTGGGTTCGGAACCTGGCAAATACCAATGTGACGTATGAAGAGTTATATGTAAGAAATTTTTAATGATTATTTAAACACCACTGACAAACGAGGAAACCTGGGCTTGTAATTTCTATTTATCTGTACTTAATATTATAAAGAGGTAAAATTTGTAAGTTTGTATGTAGGGGGTAATCTTTGGAACCGCTGGTCGGATTGCCAAAATTCTTTCACTGATAGATAGCTACGACGTTCCTGAGTGCTATAGGCTATAAACATCATGCTACGATGAAATCGAACCGAGCAGCGGGTGAAACCGCGTGAGAGTAGCTAGTTTATTATAAAGGCGTTTGTAAGAAATAATGGATAGATGTTTCTTTCTCTTTCACGCAAAAACTGTTGGATGATTGGCATGAAATATGCTACAGTTTGAAATAAGCATTTATTTTGAGAATTGTGGAGATTCAGGGTGGAATGGGAGAGAAGGTTTTGGCCACGAGGCGACAAAATGCATGAAAACCGGGAATAGGATCTAACCGAATGTTTTCCACTTTCAGCTAATTCCTGTTCTTCTAATCATCAAATTGGGGCTCTTGAGATGTTCCATAGTGATCGACAATTGGTCCCAGAAATCTATAATTGTCTCTGACTACTGCCCAGCCTTTCCATACTGCAGAGAGGGAGCTCATACCATGTGCGTGCATTATAATCCTGTAAGTAACTCTTAATATATATCCTGACCTTCCTTTAACTAATATGATAGGTTACTGGTCAAAAGCTTACAGCACCAGATAGGGTTGCGAATGCAAGCGCTATAATGTATCGCTCCGGATTCAATCAGGAGAGGAACGGGGTGATTTTTAGTCAGTAAGACTCTGACACTCTGTCTCGCCCCACCCTGGGTGGGAAAAGTCGCCGGGGTTGCGGGGTAAGCGCAATGAGTCACCGCGACCTCGGTCCAAAGCAGGAGGAGGGACGGGGGCTTTTGAATCAGTAAGAGTCTGTCACTCCCTCTCGCTTTACTCTGGGCGGGAGAAGTAATTTGATGATTTTCCCCTGAAAAAAAAAACAGTGAGAAAAGTCATTAGATGATCATTAGCTGATATCCCCTCCATGAAAAAAAATATAAATACGGAATTCTGAGCCAATAAACAATTTGATGCTAAATAGCTAGCTTAATTTCAAAATTGTAGCTGATTCGATGCCCCGTTTGCAGGCATTATTTATTTATAATTTAAACGTCTATACATAGTGGGGTGTCTCTTTGTAATATTAGAGTTACCGATTTCAATACAAACATGCATTTTATTTGGAGTAAGATAATGTATTTTAAAGTGTGGAAGAGTCATGCTCCGGCACAAAAGTGAAACCACGGCCTCAGAGAAAACGAGCAGGATGCAACATATCAGTATTATAAACTTCAACAACAATTGTCTTAAAACAGTGTATGTACAAATTGCAATACAACTTTTGCATTATCCGACGCTGAGCAAACACTCATTCAAAAAGTGTCATCTCGAAAGTGTATAACACCACCCATAGTTCAAGAGACGATCCGACACCGCCCGATCCTAGTATAAAAACCCAGAAAATTTTGCACGAAAATAATTTATAAATGCATGTTAGCCCAATATTCAGTTTTGTATTGTTTTTCTCAATGTTTTACTCCCAACATTTTTTTTCACAATATACAAATCCTTGTCCTGACAATAACGTATATATACGACGTAAAAATAATTATCAAAATCGGTCAAGCAGTTCAAGAGATGTCCGCTCCAATACATTTCGGTGATTAGTTTTTATTCCTTGCAGATATTATTCTATTCTATTACAGAATCAAGTCATGGGTCCAAAATGCAGAAATGGTCAAAATATCACGATCACTGAACAGTTGGCTACACAACTGTTGGATATTACTAATGCGTAAGTTACTAATTAGGTTGGTTATCGTTTTATGATGGCAGATCAAAAAATACATACAACCCCAATAGTGTTCCGCGGCCAGTTTAAGGCGGTAAGTGTGGGAGAGTCATGCTTGGGCAAAAATGGGTCGACTCGACCGGAGGGGTACCAGGGCCTTACAGAACACCGACGCGAAACAACCACAGCGTTATGTTTCGCCGTGTGAGAGTGGTTACCCCAATCCCAAAATCTTTAAATGCCTGATCCGTAAAAAGTCGGCAACGTACTCGTAACTCCTTTGGTGTTGCGGATGTCTATGAGCGGCGCTGATTGCTTACCGTCAGGTAAGCTGTCAGCTCGTTTGCAGACTTAAACCATAAAAAAAGAATAATTTTATGAGAAAAGCTCTATTAGTCTCCAACCTTACCTGGACTCTCGTTTAGCCTGTAGCAAGAGAAGAAACAGGGTGGTTCATACTCAGTAAGAGTCCGACACTGACTCTTACATCACCCAGCCCGAGAGAAGAAGTATAATGATATTCCTTTAAAAAAACGTTCACGGCGCTCTTGGATACATCGCGCCAATACGATCTGAAGTTTATTTTCAATAAATTTTATTATGTCTCATGATAATTATTACAAAAACCTTTAATTTCAGTATAAGAAGCAAAATTGCGAATGGTAAAGAAAAAGGCAAGAATGGCGTGTTGCTGCCGCGGGGGTATGGAATATTTCGACTGGTACATATACAGACATACATTTTTTATCTTTACAAATAAACAGACCTCCAAAATAAATATAAGTTCAGGATTCTAAATTTAATTCTGGAGCAAAGCAAAGGAATTTTGAAATGCGACCAGCGGTTCCAAATATGAATTACTCTTAAAATTTGTACCTCTTTATGATATTAGTATAGATATATTATTTAACAGCAATGGGACAATGAACTTGCAACCTTCGCACAAGTGCTGGCCAACCAATGCACCCTGCGACATGATTTTTGTCGATCCACCAGTAAGTACTCAACGTTTTTAATATAGTTTTTAGAACTAGATTTTAGTAATGGCTTCCTTCTGCCTTCGATTAGAAAATGTATGAAGGTTTTTATGAAGCGACGATAAAAAACACAAATAAAAAAAGAATCAGCAAAATCAGGTCAGATGGCGTTCGAGATTGGCGCTCTTATACACGTTTAGCAATCACTATCTTTATATTATATATAAAAATGGATCACAAAATGTATTGGTAAGCGCATAACTCAACAAAGCCTGGACTAATTTTTCTAATTCTTTTTTTGTTGTGTTTGTTATTGTCAGGAGAAGGTTCTTACCAAAGAAAATATTAGAAAAGTAGAGGGGGACCCAATAATAGCGAGATGGTTGGACCCGTGCGAAGCCGGGACGGGCCACTAGTTTTTTTAATATAATAGTAATTTGAAATCGTCTTTGCACGTCAGCCGGGATTGAATGCACAATAAAGTATGGTGTTGGGTGAAATGATCTTTCATGGTTACAAAGAGGCTCTGTTGATTTAATTTAGCAGATAATTAAGAGGGTTATAATATAATTCTATACAAGACTAGAGTCTTTCTCGCCCATTCTGCAGTGTGATTCTGTAAGACTTCATTCTAAACTTCGAATCTGAATCCGCCGTGAGTAGTAGTACACTAGCGCTACACTTGGAGTTGAACTAAATTGACAGCATCATTTTGAAAGATAAAATATGAAATGACGTTAAAAGTGGCATTCTATAATTTAATTTACCCGTCATTTGAACGCTCACTTCGCACTCGAACACGATTCAAAATCAAACAAATTTTTTAGAATCGACTTGCTGTTATTAATCAATGTTCATTTTTATAAAAGATCTCTCATCTCACATCTCATTGTAATACTATATTATGTTGAACTTTTATGCTAAAATTGTCTCATTTTTACCAGAAAGGTTCCCAGACCCCGGACAAACGGTGGGTCTCGTGAGATTTTCGTACCCAGACTGGAAAATCATGGCCAAAAAGCAGGATACACCTGGTTTAACCGAAGCCAAAATGTCCTATGCCATCACAGTGTCTCTCAAGAACTGGTATATGCAAAAAGTTGATGTCACCGAACAAATGGTGAAGGTATATCCTGATTATAGTTTGTAAGTATAAATTGCATAGAAACTTTTAGTACAGTAACTAAATATATTGACAATAACGACTTACTCACGCAAGCTTCGGCACGAATGGTTCGGCTCGACCGGAGTGATACCACGGCCTCACAGAATACCGACGTGAAACAACCACAGCGTTGTGTTTCGCCGTGGTTACCGGAGGCCCAATCCTTTCCGTCCCCGGATCCCTCCCAATCCCTAAATCTCCAAAACCCTAAATGCACTCGTAGCTCCGCCGTTGCGGGTGTCCATGGGCGGCGCTAATTACTTACCATTAGGTAATCCCTCAGCTCGTTTGCCGACCTATTCCGTAAAAAAAATGACAAAGAATAATCGTACTAGCATCAAGTCACAAAAAGCCTCTTATTTATGATCAGCATGCGCGTCGCCGCGACTCTAAAAATCATCTATGTATTATTTTTTTAAACGTTGCACCCTATTATTTTTCCCTATGTCATGAATGCGTTTACAAACATACTCGTCGCACTCAGGCCCGGAACAACAATTTGTGGATAACACAAAGATTTGTTTTGTGCGGGAATCGAACACACAGGGACAGCAGCTGCACAACAGACGGTTGCCCAGCCACCGCTTCAACAGAGCGTCAACTATATTAAATTTTCCCAAAACTAAAATGAAAATGGAATAACAACAACAGTAACTTGTACTCAAATAAAATCTACCACAAAGAAAAATCTTTTCGAAAAACTTGCACCGGATAAGGCCACGAACTAGTTTATTTCTCGCATTTTATTGACACTGGTCCCCCCATAAATCAGCAACAACTTTTCCTGGATAAACTTACTTGGTTAACGAAAAGGATTTATTTCCTATACATGCGTGCCAATCGATGTTAAGAATTTATATGTATGTATGTATAAAACTTGACCAATGCTATCAGCATCTATGCGTTTGTTTTTGTTAGACGTCCCCTGTACATTTTGTATTGTTTGCAATTTAAAACAAATGAGAAAGGCGAACAATTTCAAGCCTAAATTGCATTTTACATCACATCACATCGCATCATTAGCTTAAAAGTATCCACTGCTGAAAAACGATGTATTAGATAAGAGTTTGATTTCAATACAAAGTATATTATTATAGCTGTTGAATTAATATAATAATACTAGTGTCGTATTCTCATGCATGAGGATTCAAATCCTGCCTAGTAGCAATGTGACTTTTTGTGAGTTACATATACCTACTTTCTAAAAAAAAATGTTTGCTTGAAAACATCGTGATTATTGCTCTAATCTTCTCTGTGTGATAAGAGGCCTTTGCTCAACAGTGGACACTTACAGGCTGATGATGGTGATAATGATGATGAACTATATTACTTCTTGGGTTACACTGTATGCTGTTAGACCTTATAAATGACTAGCTAAAATGGACTAACAAACACATTACAAAAAAGAATTGTTCCATTCGAACCAGGTGTTCCGGAGATTGAAACAATGAAACGATGAATTTCTTTTTGCAATTAGGCCAAAAAACGGCACTTTTACACGTCAATTTATATGTGAAAAACTAGATGAAGTTGGCTCGATCAGCGCGTTGAAACAAACAAATAAACTCTTCAGCTTTATAATATTAGCAAAGATAACATATTAGAACTAAGGGTACACCATGCCACTGTGAAATAGGACAAAGCAGAAAGAAAGAAACAAGTAAACAAAAATATTATATAACTAAATTTAATATATGCACAGTTATTACCACAAGGAGATCTGACCTATCATTGTCCATGCAAATACTGTTTAAGTTATCTCTTCGTTTTTCAGAACATCCACCCCAGGAACACCAGGCCGTCTTTACTTGGAGACAATAAATGGTGGAACTACACACATGGGCTGCGGTTTATCAGCATTCTCCGACTTTGTCTTTAAAAACACAAGCCAGATTAAAAATATATACAATGTAAGTAGCACAAATCTAATGACACGGTTGATTTGGCAGCACTGCAGGAAAAGTAATCGGTGAATGCGACCTCTCGAATGAGACTTTGGCTCAGGCCATAGTGCGAAACGAATAACTGGGAAAATTATTTCCTAATTAGGGGCTAGCTAAGTAACTAAGGCCGGACGAGAAAAGTCGTCATTGCCAATCACTTCCCTGAGAGCACGTCGGTACTCGTCCAAAGTAATAGGCAACGTGTCCTCCGGACTATTTCAAGCCCCATTTTCTACAGAGAGTCAAACCATACATAATAGCAGTTCAGTCACAAAGTCAAATTTAAAACCATATGGTTCTTTTGAAATTTCAAAATAGAATAAGTATGTTAGTCTGTTCGTCAGTAAAGCTAGGTACTCACCTAGCTTTCGTTAGAACGTTCTAAGGCGAATGGAGAAGAACGCGACTGAAAATACATCGTTACTCTTTAAAAATATATATATTTTTTACAAGTTCACCAATACATTATTCGATACACATTATGTTACAGTACCCATTAATAAAAACAAGGCAGAAACTAAGCTTAAAAAAAAGAAACGGTGGGATCAATTCCTCAAACAGTCAAAGAAGCATTATTGTAAAATTTATTTTGTTTTCAGAGTATTATAGTAGTATGCAATTATTCTGCCAGACCCCAAAGAGGAGGTGAATCGTATACAACTGAGCCACCAGCCCCAGGCCTAGGATACAGCCCCAAATGCGGTTGCCCCCCAGGGTCTACAGAAGATCAGGATTGCCTCTGCAATTTAGAACCGAAGACCCCTGAACGTGAGTTGTTCTTACTATCACGGCCTGAACATAAAATGTCATGTCTTTTGTTGTCAGACAAGTCATTTTGGTGTACAAAAAAGGAAGTATGAGAAAGAGATTGATTTAGTAAAGACAAAGTTTTAGTGGACGGTTATAAATAAAAAGGAATCGTTCAAAGCAAAAGACATTCCGAGACCGAGACTAAAAGTCTCCAGAAGTGCGTTATCGGTCCCTGGGGACATTAGTCTATACCTTGCCAAACTAATTTCAAAAGGACATGAAAACAAAAAAAAATGAATTCTACATATAGTTTTTATTATTTCTTAATGAAGAAAAATGCCAATGGCTACTATAAAGCGCTAAAAAATAATGTTCACAGAAAAACCACCGAAAAAATGCAACAGCCTAGATGGCAAGGGATGCGAGCCAACCTTGGTTCTACTACCAATATTCACGATAGAAGACGCACCCGATGACTTATTATTTCAACGTGCCGAAAGTATCAAAGACCCGTTAAAGGATTTTATAATTCAAAGGTAAAAACTAAATAAAGGCAAGTAAAAAAACCTTCTCTCCAAAAATTGTAAAAGAGTAAAATAACAATTGCATTTAGGGCTGATTTCTCAATAGTCAGATAAATGTAATGTGACGGATAAAGTTGTTGTAAAGTGTGGGAGTGATACCAAGATCTCACACATTTCAGTGCGTGAAAAATCGACAGCTTTTTTTGCTGTATGAATGAGGTTACCGGAGGCCCAATCATTCTTCTCTCCCCAATCCTAAATCGCCAAAACCCCAATGTGAAAAAGTCATACTGGTACTACTTTAGGCCATAACATTAACCTATTGAGCACCACAACGTTCGAGAACAATAAAAGACATAATTAAACACAATAATGTAGTTGTTAAATTAATATTAGGTTATTCATTTAAATTTTCCATTTCTTTTTCAAACAGACTTGACAACTCGAGTAACGTTCAAAGGATTGGAGATTCTGAAAATATGTTTGACATTTTTACTCCAAAACCAAAACCAAGACAGGTAGGTCCATAAGTCTTTATAACATTTATAACAATAAAAAGTCCAACTAATATACTAATATATTTTATCTGTGTCAATGATCTGTGCAAATGTCGAAGTTTGTGAACATGTGTACGTTTGTTATTCTTTAACGCAAAAACGGCTGTAATGGCGTACCACATAGACTTTTATAAACATTTCACGCGAGCAAAGCCGCGGGCGAAAGCTATGAAATATTTTTTTTCTTTGCAGAATAATGTTCAAAACGTTTTACCAAGATATAATCCACCCAGGCCAGCAGTGTGGCAAAAACCATCACAATCGTCTAAGTAAGGTTTTGATGTATTTTGACTAAATTAATTGTTATTAAATTTAATTCTTTATTTCAGTTGTAGATCCATACAAAAGTGTTTGTAACTTCTTATCCTAATGTTAGTTAGAAAACATTATTTAATATCTATCAATTATTGACATGGACATCAGGACGCACACGTCTACTTGTCCAGTGTCTAATAAACGGCCTATCAATTTTGTCTGCCAGTATATCTAGTATTCTGTTAAGACTTTCCCTCAATCGCCGCATTATGGATGAACATCGCTTCAAATAGCATTTTATTTATCTATATTAAAGAGTATTGTAACCAACCATCAACCGACAGGAAATATTGGAAAAGTCCTGCAAAATTTTAGGTCTTTAATTTGAATATGTTTTGCATTCCCAGTGATAACAGGATCTCTACAATAAGGACTATCGTTTACGTGTTTACTATCTCTCACTAATATAGCAACACATATAAAAGAAAACAAACTTCTATTAAATCAGCTACTTTTTACAATATAGTTGACCGTGATATTGTTTTGCAGCATGTACAGAGCGCCAGTAGCACCACCAATGCTATCACCAACGGAAGAACCTCCTTTCTCTCTTCCTACTCGACCGGCACTCCCGCCGAGAAAACCACCACCACCGCCCCCACTACCGCCTCCTCCGCCACCACCTCTACGTCCTGCTCATATCTACCACCAGAATCGTGCGCCACCCCCAATCCCACCACGACCACCACCGCGAAAGCCATTTCACATTCGTACTCCGCCAAAACATGCCTACACTCCAGCTCTAAGGGCGAATAATAATCATCATCATGATCTGGTACATTCTGACGATGAGCTCGAACCACCGAAGATAGGACCACCCCCAATACCGCCGAGAAAATCCCGCAAACAAGTGACAAAGGTATCAATTTGAAAAACATATGTAAAGGAATTTATTACTTTTCGTATCACATAGATCGAATAAACTACCAAATATTGTTTCCTGCTTTTCAGAAATCTAGTATATTCACAAAAGCAGCACAATTCAAGTTACCAGGCAGCACAAACATGGTGTCCCCATTTGTAACGGCAAAGAAAGATGTACTCCCGCGAAAAGATTTTTCAAATTTAAATAAAAAAGTCGATGAATATCTTCAACGTCAACGGTTTTCATTCAGAAGGAATGATGTTCATCCAAAAACTGTTACTCCTCATTTAGAATCACCACACACCGATGCACACGTGAATGAAATTACAACAGAAACAATTTTGAAGACTGCTGAAGAAGAAGTCATGAACTTAAATCAGTACTTAAAGGAAAAAAAGTACTTAAAAGAAAATCTGGATAATCGGACCTTAGATATGGTACTCAAAGATGAAAATGACAAAGACAACAAGCTTCTATCTCTGCTCAATACTTTGGAAAAAGAAGTGAAACATGTAGCTCTTGACGGCAACGAAAAAGAATTATTTGATGCAAAAATTAGAAGAATCTATGGGTCTATCGTAGGCGCCACTGATACAACATTAGTTCCAATTGTTACCACCAACCCTTATGATTCAGACAATGGTGAAATCGATATTGGCAACTTAAAAAGTGCTGGAAATCATGGACTTGTTAACTTAACTGACGACGAAAAACATCCACGTTTTATAAATAAAAATGGTGAGCATCTCGAAGAAGATATACAAAGGGGTCACACAAAGAATTATGACTACTTAGTCCACTCAAGGAAAGAAAAATTAAAAAATGATTTGGAACTTAAAAAGTATATTAAAAACTTAGATGAAAATATCTTCAGTGATACAGAAGGTAAACATGATGTTTACGATCATAACAAATATCATAACAGTTACGGTCACAAATATGAATCCGACGTGGATCAAAAATACATTGACGACTTTGAAAATAAGTATAGCGAAATTCTTGACCGTAACAAATTCAGTGATAACAATTTAGATCTCAAATTTGACGCAAAACATAAACATTTTGAAAATGACCGAAAGTATCACTACGATGATAATTTGGACCATAAATATGAGGAAGCATTACCACTTCATAGGAATACTCTAAAGTACGAAAATAAAGATTTCAATGAATTCAGGGAAGTAAAACATAATTCCTTAACTTCAATAGAAGATAATGCAATCAAACATAGCAATTTGATGAAATTTAAGAACGGAGAATTAGTAAAAAGTATCCTTGATAATGTAGACAGAGAAGGGCACAGAAGCAACGACCCCGAGAAAAGACATAGAGATAAAATAGATATCAAAAGAAATAAAATCTATCATTACCGCAACGATGAAGTAAACGAACCGTTAAGTATAGAACGAAGAAAATATTATCAAGAGAAACTTGAAAATATAGAAAAAAGGCTTCGTTCAAGTTCAAGAAATGGTAGACGAAAGAATGATGTAAGTATTTTTTATTACTATTCCTAACGCCAGTAAAATTACACAAAATAACGTTAAATTAAAAAAAATACGTTAAATCAAAAATAAACTTCTATAAGCCGTTACTACCACATGCTTAATTTATCCTACAGAAACATAATACCAGGAAAGTTGTCCATATTAATTTTCTAGATACTGGAATACCTAATAAACATTATTAGAGATTATAATCAACCCAGCCCAACCAGTTTACTTTTTTTCATGGCAGATGGCAAAATAATGTAATAAATATAAAAAAAAATGTAAATGAAACTGATAATTCTATTATAATTTCAGCACGGAGGAGGCGAGCGACAATTGCGTCGTATGAGACCAAGTATACCAAGAGCAAGACCTAAATCTGACAGCATCTACATTCCTCAGAGAGCAAGATTTATACACTCATTCTGATAGAGCCTATGTATATAAATACAAAGTTAAAAACCTGAATGTATTCATTATACTTTAAACTTTTGCATTGCATATTAATACTTAACTGTTTTAAGGGATTTAACCAATGGTACCTTTTAATTTATTTTTTCTTGACGTTTCGTCAGGGTTACACCAGCAGTCACAAGCAGACCGTTCTTGACCTTCATCGACGGAGTAGTGTCGTTTAACAGTCTGCTTGTATGCATGACAAGACACGTCAAGCAAAAAACAAGCTGTACCGTGCGCGTTAAATCCCGTAAAACAGTAAAGTACTAAATGTATTCGACTTTTATTCAAAGGTTGCCTATGGACAGGTGGCACTAAACAAATAGTTAAATACAGATGCTATTAAAATAAATAAATAAGCAGTCTAGGTCGACATATCGACGTAAATCTAAGCGAAATACGTAGCATTTTCTATTATCTTATATACTTACTTATGTATATACTATAATTAGGGGAGATGCTCAGGATGGGACATCTTGAGGCTGATATTACTATGTCAATGAAGACACGGAGATCTTAAATGATTAGACTGTATCATGGCAAACCAGGACGTGAAACAAAGCTAGCGATCTGTTTCATGGGAATGAGGTATTACCGGAAGCCGAATCCACCCCTTCTACAAGCTAAGTAAAAGATGTGTTGCAGATGTCCATGAGCATCGCTTCAGGGCCTACCATTGAGGCTACCAGTCTAATCATTTACCTTTACCATAAAAATATTGTATAGCTGTTATATAGTACTTAGAAACTAACTAATTATAGTTTCTAGAATACGAATGTAAATAAATAAAGACTCTTAAATACTATTTTCAAATCCTATGTATATTCGATGTATCTTAATAACTCTTAGAGTTTTATTATGTAACTCACTATTTTAGTTTAAGCTTAAGTAAATGTGTACTTATATTTTGTTATACTGTACCTAATTAGAATTTTAAATGAATAAATGATTAAAAAAGGTACTGCGTCTTAATTTATTATCTCGTCATTTAGGACATAAAATGTAATAAAGACAACAATATGAAAGAAAATGGCCGAAATCCAAGCAAAAAAATGGAACATTATCAACAAAATACCATATCATTATCAGTAATATAAAAAGAAAACCCACACATAAAAACTTTTAGGCAAACATATTAGCCTTATTACAAAAAAAAAACAAAATAAAAAAAAGAATCATTTCCGTTTGAAAAAACGAATAATCGTTCCACTAAATGTGTTTAGAACGGTAATCGAAGCGATAAAATGCAGAGCAATACTGAGGAAAATATGAAGAAACGAACATTCTAGAATATCAGATCCATTGAGAAGAGCTAATTAGAGCATATTTTGAATAGTAACTTTATTGAAAACATACTACTAGATACTACTACAACTAACGTGAATAAACTAAATGAACCGTAAATAAACTAAACTAGAATAATAATTTAAAAGTGACAAAAAATTTAAAGGGCAATACAAGTTTTATAAAAAGAAAAAATATATTTAAGTGAATGACGACCTCGAAAAAATTTAAACCGTGAAATAAAATGGACACTTAATAGAAGAAATTAATATTTAAAAAAATAAAGCAGTTTAAAAAAAATCTGAACTGAAATTCCATTTTGAATATTTAAATTAAGAAGCATGAGGATAACAGCTAGTTATTAATTAAAAGTGCATCATAGTGTTCCTGAGATTAATTCAAAATGATTATATACGTAAGTACTACTTTGATGTTATTATAGCAAACGGATTTATACATTTTATACTTAATTAGCTTTTGCCCGCGAATTCGTTCGTGTGGAATAGTGACATTATTTATTTTTGGTATAAAAACTCTCTTATGTCCTTTCTGGAGTTCCAAACTATGTCTGTACCAAATATCACTGAAATCGATTCAGTCAGTTTAGACAGACAGAGTTACTTTATTAGTTTGGATATATAAGTACTTAATTTAAATAGTTGAACAATGTACAAACGTGATTTTATGGAAAACTTCAATATTTATTTAACAAATGATTATTCTGCAGCGATTTAAAGCATGTTAATATTATGACTTTATTTTTATTGGATCGCTTGAGAGCAGCTATTATACAATTTCATTTAGAAATGAATGATACCTAATTTGTATAACTGGCAGATTTGTTATATTATATTATTTACGATAATGACAAAAGAAAAGTTCATTTAAAGCAAGACCTCGATAAGATGGTTTGTCACATCTTGATTTGTAGTCAAAACATACTCAAAACAACTACTAAATTTAAGTGCGATAAAGCTACAAACGAATAGAAATGAAAAAGCGAGAGCATGCAAGAGGTCTAGCAAAGAGATCATAGTGTTAAGAGAACATGGTTTAAAGAATTTGGGCAGACTAGTGATAGGTAGTCGTTTGCATCGTATAGAATATTGAAAGAACGAGATATTTTCTAACTCCAAAACAAGAACGAGACAGAAACAAATTTGGAACAAAGACAGAAAGATGATAAACGTCTATCATTAACGAAGATCTATTATTTACATTCAATGGAAGCAAAGACATACTTTAAGGTGAAGTTTGTAGATAGTAACTGAGAGAAGGGAGAAAATGGATGCATGTGGCTTCCGACCATACTATCTGAAAATCATTGAGGAAGATCTATGTTTACCAGTAGACGTATTGTAAAGCGGATGGCGAGAAAGGGTAGCTCGCCGCCCGATTAGTACTGGATCCAGCGTTCCGCGCGCCTCAAGAAGTCAGTTGTCCACCACATATGGAGAAGAAGAAAGAACCGTGTGGTTTTTAGTCAGTAAGAGTCTGACACTCCCTCCCAGAAATTTTGATTTGAGCCAATAGAAGATGCAGGTTATAATTGTATAATTATCATTTCAGATTCAGATCATACAGTTTGTGCAGATCCTCGCTGTAGTAAGATGCTCACAAGTAATTGACTCAAGGTCACAGAACGCGTTGTATGTCGCCAACTATTGTCCAGCCTTAAAACACTGTCTAGAAGGCACCCATGTTATGTGCATGTATTACAACCCCGTAAGTATGTAATATAAACATAAATTAAGAATCTTTTAAAATAATGCCATCTAAATAAATCTTTCCTAAGTCAAGCTTATTTCTTAAGTCAAAATCAAAATAATTTATTAAAACTAAACCATAAGTAGATTTTAGAAACGTCAAAATAGAATAGAAGTCCGTCATTGTGTTCGTCAGTGAAGCTAGGTGCATATGTAAAAAAGTAAAAATTATTCAAAACAAAAAAAACAAATCACTATCTGAAAAATTCTATCTTAAAACAATATCTTTCTTTAGTCAAACTTTGATTATTTTCGTTTATTATTGACTTCTTGAACTCGCTTTTCTCTTTGAAATAATCTTCATCCCAAACTCCAAAATAACGATCATCATCATCATAGTCAGTGCTGGACAAAGGCCTCTCCAGTTTCGCTTTTCTCAAAACTGTAATTTGAGTAAGAACCTTCACAAAACTTGCAGCAATATTTAAGGCAGCTTTTATTATCATTACACAATTTATACAGGACCGAACAATGGGCCCTCTATGCAGGAACTACGTCACGATCACAATCACCCCACAAATGGTGCGACAAATACTTAAAGAAGTTAATGAGTAAGTATCAATTAATAACATAGTCTCTCTTACTCTCAAGAAATATAAGTGGTAATAATAAATTCAAGTTCTGGTCAATTACATCGATTATTCTATTACAAGAATTGACCGCAAGACCTCTTATTCCTAATTCCTAATTGTACCTATAACTGACCACTTTATTTTTTAGAAGTACAGAAACAACTGCAGTGCTACTAAAATTTTAATATCTCGTTAACCGACAAAAGTTTGAACTAACGCCATCTAGTAGTAGACTTGTAAATTTTCAATCACTTCTGCTTACAGGATAAGAATAAGAGTTGCGTCAGGCAAGGAGACTGGAAAAGATGGGCGTCCTCTACCAAGAGCATATGGGATGATGAAAATGGTATGTGTTTAATGTATTTTGATATCTATTGTATGATAAGAATAGGAAATGAAAATTGAATTATAGACGATGAATATTTTTCTGCAATTGTTGGCGAATATTTGCAGAAATCTACAGTTAACATTAAAACATTGTAGATTATTATTCCCATTATTTAGCTTAATAACTTCGTTTATGTTCATTTTGCGCTGCTGTGACAAGAAGTACTACTTTTTGCATCAAACCCTTGAGCCAATTATCAAAAACTACCCCTGCTTTATTGTTGTTCGAGGCCTTTATAGAATATATTGGATAGTGAACGTTTCTTAATTCTTTTTGCAGTTCTGGGACAGTGAACTGGCGACGTTGGCTCAAGTGCTAGCTGATAAATGCATGGGACTGAGAGAAGACGAATGCAGAGCTACTGGTGAGAAATCTATCACTTTTTCTTAACAACTAACTTTAAGTAATTAATGATAGTGTCAGAGAGCTATGCTTCGGCACGGATGGGTCGGTTCGACCGGAGTGTCGACCTTACAGACCAGCAAAGGTTTATCAAATAGCACTGCTATACGGTATCTGTTAAATGTGTATTGCAATCCTTTAGTGCACTTTCGCACAAAGTTTGATTCGTCTAGAAAATTCGGATGAAATGCCTTAACAAAGAATTCGATGTTGGATGTCTGGTATAGTGTGTAAACTACCATGGAAGTTGTTCTAAGACAATGACTGACCATATTTTCACTGAATTCCTTAGGATCGGACGCACTGAGGAAGCGCTCTGACTCAATTCTCAAGCCTCCAAAAGGAAAAAGAGAGATATATTTTACTTCTTCAACAAAGCTACCTTGAGAAAATTTCCTTAATCATATATTTTTGTCCACAGACACATTCCCGAATCCAAGTCAAATAATAACCCTGGTTAACTTCAAAGTACCAAACTGGGATTATTTGAGCCGTAACACGACCACACGCGGTTTAAATAAAGAGAAGATCAGTTTTGCCATAGAAAAGGCCATGAGGTCTTTACACGCAGTCAAGAAGCTTGTCACTCCAAATAATGTTTATGACTGTCCTGCTTTAGAGTCGTAAGTAATAATTAAGGATTTAATATATAATAGTAAGGGTTGCGGGGCAATGAGGCTCCGCGACCTCGGCCCAGAGCAGGAGAAGGAACAGGGGGGTTTTTAGTCAGTAAGAGTCTGACACTCCCTCCCACCCGGTCTGGGCGGGAGAAGACATTTGATGATGTTATCTTCACAAAAAAAAACATAATAATAATAATAATTAAAGATGCTTTTTTGACGAGGGAAAGTCGTTCTCCTGCCCTGGGGTACCACCACCATATTTTCTTGTGTGATTGGCAATGCACTTGTGATGCTTCTGATGGTGGTCTTCTGGCCTTGGCCTGGTTAAAGTTAGCTAACCAATCTGACTGCATGTTTGATGCGGTGGCTGGGCAACTGGCTGCCATGCAACGTGTCGCGGGTTCGATTCCCGCACGGAACTACTCTTTGTGTGACTAACAAATTGTTGTTCCGGGTCAGGGTGTCATGTGCATGAGACATTATGTTTGTAACTACATCCACGACTTAGGAGAAAATCCTAGTGTGGGGCAACTTTTTAAATAAAAAAAAGAAAAGAAAAGATCAGAGAGGTAAACGTGGCAACGTTTCGATTCTCTCAAACTATGGTATAATGGAATAAACGGGCAGACGGTAACCCGATGGCATGCAGTTAGCACCGCCATAGATACCTGGAAAACTTGGTGATTTACACTAGGGTTCCGACTGCCTAAGTATAAGTTTCTAAAGCTCAGCCAAGACCTCCGCATGCTCCAGGCAGATTGGCGACTTCAAACTTTAACAGATACATGGAAAAGTCCAATTGGCCGAACCCACTCTAGATATACCAAATTCGTTTTTATTATTTTTGTTTAGTAACTATCTTGCGACATGAAAATTGAAAATATTATAATATGTAATTGATAATATTATAACTTCTTGTATATATTCTTAATCTATTCTTCCCATATTTAATAGTATTATTTATGTATTACTTATTTATATGTTATATCTGTATTTGTAGGTTATATTTATTGTATTCATATATGTTTTTGTATTGCCTTATGTGCCTATGCTTTTTAATTATTTGTGTGCTTGTTTAGAACCTATTGTTAGCACTTCTCTGCATCACCCGTGAGGTTGACTGGTAGAGAAAGCCTTCGGGCATTAAGTCCACCTTTGTATATTTTTTATGTACATAAAGTGTTAAATAAATAAAAAATATACTATAACTACTTATTAGCGGAGAGTAATTCACTAGGTCTCGACAAGTTTGAAGTCCCAACGGGACACTTGTCTCGCTCGTACTGGTCATGATTAAGAGTCCCGTTGCAACACGAAACTAGTTGAACTTTACTCAGTTACTTATTTTGATATTGATGTCATCATTATCATCATCAGCCTATAAGAGCCCACTGCTGAGCAAAGGCCTCTTCTCATACGGAGAAGGTTAGAGCATTAATCACCACGCTTCCTAAATGTGGGTTGGCAATTTCAAACTTATAATTAGAAATTATAAGTCCAGGTGTTTTCCTTCACCGTATGTCAGTGGTGTCTAAATAGTCATAGAAAGTACATATAACTCGGAAAAAGTCACATTGGTACTTGCCAGGTGTCGAATCCACACCCTAATGCATGAGAAGCGGGCTCCTTAACCTCCGGGCCACCACGACATGTGTTATTATAATATTGATATAAATACTTGTTATTAACAGAATTCCAGACATGGGGACTAGGAGTTACCTAAAACTAATCCGTGGCAAAGCAACGCATATTGGATGCGGCATATCAGCGTATAGAAGATACCAGATTTCAGCTACTGGCGCACAAAATATTTATAATGTAAGTCTTCATAATAAATATACATTTTGACAAAGTCCATAGGGTTGTGCTCTATAGATTTCGGTGGTTATCTAAAGGGTTTTTAAATATTGGAGAGGTTGGATAAAATAAAAACATTTATTATACAAATATTATTTAAAATTAAGTTTATTAGAAACTATATTAGAGATTATGTTTTTGAATATGTTGCACACCGAAGGAGTTACGAGTTCGTTGCTGGCCTTTTGGGGATAAAGTTTTCAGATATTATAGTATCGGGATGGGTAGAGGGGGAGGGATCGGGCCTCCTTGGTTTGTAACCTCCCTCACACGGCGAAACACAAAGCTGTGGTCGTTTCACGCCGATTTTCTGTGAGTCCGTGGTACCACTCCGGTCGAGCCGACTTATTCGTGCCGAAGCTTGGCTCTGCCACACTTACCACGATTTAGGTAAATATCTTTACCTTTGTCAGTCATCGACAGAAAAATGAGGTTTCTTTTTTGGGCTTTTTGCATATAGTATTTTAGAGCAAGTGTTAGCGTCACTCAACCAATAATATAAAAACCTCCATTACTCACTAACTCCGTTACTTACTAAATAATAGTAAAGGGAATACTTTATGTGGAAGTGCGTTGAAAAATAATTTTATTTGGCTTCAAATGAACAAATGAAGCCTAATGACCAAGAAGAGAATTAAAACATATATAATCAACATTTCACGACACATTTCAGAGCATCCAACTAGTATGTAATATATCTGATGAACCTCAAAAGTCGCAGCAAATTTACACCACAGACCCACCAATACCAGGCACTGGTTTCTCGGACACCTGCGGCTGCCCTCACGGATACAGGGAAACCACTGGCTGCCTCTGTGAAAGAAATCCACGCTCATATAGTAGTAAGTACAAGGCAAAGCCATTTTATTAACCACTATAAATCTATAGTAGAAGTCATAGGAAGGCTCCCCCTACTTAAATTCAATACAATCTCCAAAGGGCCAGCAAAGGTCTGGCACTGATTGCTTACCATCAGGTAATCCGTTTACTAGTTTGCTGACTGATCACATAATTAATTATGGTTTAGACTTCCCGTAAAACTAAATATTTTGTAAATTTCATTTTAACTTGTTTTACTGACTGCACTGTACATCGTGGCCCCTGCCCGGAGCAGGAGAAGGAATGAGACAGTTTTTGGTCAGTAAGAGACTGACAATCCCCACCTAGAGCGAGAGAAGTAATCAGATGATTTCCTCCATCGAAACAAAGATAGAACTTGAGCCCATATGCAAATAATTGCGTGTGTTAAATAAAAACAGTAATATGAATTGCAGGAGGGCGTGAAGACAAACATAAATATGAACTGCCAGAAATTAATGAAGTGCAGACAACACTAACTGATGGGCCAATTAATGATCCTGTTGGCCCATTCGCGGAAGAAAAGCCTAAAGTAGCCATACTACCAATATTTGAAATACAAGATGTGCCTCCTAACTCTTATGAACCAGAGAACGATGTTGAATATCAATTCCATAGAAGGTATCAATGTTTATTTTATTACACACAAGCCTTTCTCAAAGAATGACTCCATATAAAAAAAAATTAACTATATCAAGGACTAGCTACTCTCGCGCGGTTTCACCCGCTGCTCGGCTCCATTTAATTGTAGCGTGACGTTTTATAGCCTATAGCACTCAGGAACATTGTAGCTAACTATCAGTGAAAGAATTTTGGCAATCTGACCAGCAGTTTCAAAGATTACCCCCTACATACAAAGTTACAAGCATACAAACATGCAAACTTACAAATTTTACCTCTTTATAATATTAGTATAGATAAAGCTACATTGATAATTATGGAGCAATGACGAAGGTATTTCAAAGACGTCTTATTACATAATTTACATTTAGAACCACATACTTAGTACATGCTTACACATTCCTCTAAAATTTGCATGAGTTAATTAAGGAACGCTCAGCACATGCTGCTTATGATTAATGGTCCGCTGTGATTTCAAACCAGTAGATGTTTACTTAGCTAATTCACGATAGTAAATTGAAATTTTCGATGAAGCTAGTTAAGTTAAAAAATCTAAATTTTGTTTATCAATAATAATTACAAATTTGACTTTACTATTCACAGCTTTGGAAACCGAAGTTTCTTCCCAGATGAGCATTCAATGGAAGAAAACGAAATTTCAAACGAAATTGCCTATAAAGAGGTAATTATCTTTTTGAGAATTGATTCGACAGACATTTAAATTAAAGCAATTTGTCCCTAGTGCATCGTATTGCAACAATGCCGTCCTGGAAGTTAAAAAGCCACAATTGATGGCCTAATCTACAATTTTATTGGCAATTTATTTTCCTCATCGAGCTTTTGCTAATCCATCACATTGGATGAAAGAGGCGAAATTTATTCATTTTAAAATAATAAATTCAGTAAAAAGTGTATTTTATATGGTGGGTCCTTAAAATTAATGCCCTTAAAAGGGATGTGATGAGGGACACAGTATAACACATCATTGAGTTGTCCTGTGTTGAGTTGTACAGACATTTTGTAGTTTGTTTATACAGACCTAATTATCAGAATCTTGCATAATTTGATTCGGAAAAATAGGGTCAACTCAACATGTACCATTTTGCACTTATAAATAAAAAGAAACTACAAATTAAATGTACACGTGCATATGATTATTGTATGTTAATAATATCTATGAAATATTTAATTAATTTGCAGATTTCAAATGATATCAACAAACTTCATAAAATTTTTCGCACTAATCGTCTTCATAATATGCCAAATAAGGTCCCCAAAAAAGAATTTGAAGTGCATGATGTAATGATCAGTGAGGAATTAAAACCAGAAAGATATGATATATACAACAGGTTGGAAAATAACATTGATTCTTATACAGAAAATGAAGATAAGGATAGCGATAGAAAATTTCTTTCAATCCTAGACCACTTAGAAAAAGCAGTCCAAGATATAGAACTCGAAGGTGACGCACGAGATTTATTTGACATCAAGATGAGAAAAATATACGAAGCTGGACTAAAATTGAAAAATCAAAATGTGAAAACTAAAACTGATGTGTCTTTAGATAAAATAAAACAGTTAGAAATGGAAAAACACTTACACAAAGTTAGGAATTACATGCAGCATAAAATGAATTCTCGCGATGGGGACAGTCATATGGACGAACGTAGACATTGGGCCAGAGATAGAAAAATAAACGAACATACACTTGAAGATAAAGATATGAATGCTATGTCTGACAATGACGCAGAACAGAAAGAAACAGAAAGCGATGAAATCTATAAAATAATTGATGAAAAATTGATCGACATATTGAACAAAAAATTTAGTAATCAGAAATATATGAACGATGGAAGAAAGTACAGTGATGAAAAAAGTTACTATAATGAGAGGTTAGACGAAATTGAAGACAATACCCTCCCCCCTGCTAGAAAACAAGAGAATATTAATAGGTACGAAAATAAAGTACAAGAATTTAAAACAGGAAACGATGTTCCAGAAAATTTGTTTCATAAAAAGCATTCAGTGTCTGATCATAATAATAAAATGGACGTTATTAAAAAACTGAACGAGGAACTTCTATTAAAGCACCGTGGAGAATTGAAACAAAGTGTGCATTCGTATGATCATACTGATAAACCTATTGGTATAAGGCCGACGACTCATCAAAAGAAAATGATGAAAAAGACTCGAAAATTACATAAACCCTCGGCGAATAGGCGAGTTTTCACAGTAAGTTCAGATATTAACTAATTTTTTGTACACAATTAATATTTGTTAGATTTTTTTCAATTGCGTTTGACTCTAATCTGGCCTGATTGTGAGCGAGATGCGACATACTATGGATCACGCCTACCCATAAGCAATCTATTCACTCAGGCTTTTTTATATTATTTTACTCTTCGGGGAATAAAGGGAAAGAATTCTACTCTTTATCGTTATTAAAGAAGACGCCCTAGTTTCGGGGAACATAGAATCCAGAAAAAAATCGACTTCTTAGAAATTGGAGGCGAATTGCTGAAGCATTTTGCTAATTGTCTTAGGGTACAATGGTGCACAAGACTTGGGGGAATCAAGTTGTGCAAAGGTAAAGCAAAATTTCGAAGCGTGTGCTGGGCAACTCCCTACACATTCTTCTAAGCTTTGCTTCGGTGCCTATTGATTAATTTACTATCATCCCATAAAAAACTTACATTTTTATTTCAATTTTCAGAAAGAACAAGAACGGCGTCCAACTGTTTACAAGCGTCATAACCCTGATAAAAAGAAATCTACGACACACAAAGATAGATACTACATATCAGATAGGGCAATGTTGTGATCCAATTTATAGCGACATAATATTGACATTTTATACAATTTTGTGATACCACACAGAAAGCTGGCGTGAAACAACGCTTCCATTGTATTTTGCCGAGTGAATACTTTCCTACTCCCATGTCCAATAATCAAAGACGTAACTCCCAAAAATTTTGACAACGCACTTGCTGTATAGTACATTCGACATATTCTATGAAAAAAAAATGATTCCAAAATCGTATTATAAGGACATCAAAGGAATCGTATTATACTCTTTTTAAAATTAATGGTTCTATAAATTGTACACAGAAAAGTCATTTGGTATGCAAGTAAGAAGAAATATATTGATTCCGTTCCATTGGCCGACCTCCAAACGACCTGCATACCAAGTAACGAAGATTACATTCAGTGATAAAAGCGTTTAAAAGAAATTCATTTTAAGAATTCATGAAGTGTTATGTGGCATACACATATTTCACTGTTTAAGTCAAATTGGGGAGACCTATGTCCAGCAGTGGACGACATCAGGCTGATGATGATGATGACAAAGTAAAATTCAAGGAGGCCGATTTGTTTTTGAAATTAAAGAAGCAAGGAATATTTTCTTCAAAAAAGCCCGACATGTTTTTTAAAGTAACTATCGTGACTCATAATAAATTTATTGGCAATACTCGTGAACTTACTCTAAAAACTTTACTACAGCTGGCTGCTCTAATTCTCCGCGCCGCGTTCGCTGCTCATGAATAAAAGTCTCGTTATGACTTAAAACTAGAAGAGCTTATCTCAGTAAATTCACATTTACCAAGTTTACTTTCTAGGATTAATATGTACAACATGGAAAAAGTCACAGTGGTAGTTGCCAGGTTTGAATGTCTTGGTATGGCCATGTGAAAAGGAGGGATGAAACTCATGTAAAAAAAGCCATGAGTATAAATGTAGATGGACGGAGAGAGAGAGACCAAAGAAAATATGGATGGATTGTGTGAGAAGTGATATGGAAGACAGAAGACTTAGTGATAGCGTGACGGGTGACAGGACAGAATGGAAGAAAAAAACATATTGTGCCGACCTCAAATAAAACGGGACAAGGGCAGGAAGATGATGGTAGTTGCCAGGTCAGAACCCGTTTCCACCTTCATGGCCGAGAAGCGGCGATACCTGAATCACCACGAGACGACATAGACATAAAATAGTTATAAAGATATTTTTATACGTCTGATTATAATGTTTAACGTTTTTGATTAAACAAAAAATAATATAATTTATCCTTTTATTTCTTCCTCATCGTCTTGTAACAAAATATTATAACTATTTACAAGAAAAGAACATGGCGTTCACAAACTTGAAATATTCAACAGAAAAACTTTGACAGATCGTTTCGTGAAATAAATTATTAAACAGACGATGTCATCTGTTCTTCTCATCAAATGCATTGTTTTAATCTATACTTATAATAAATCTGTAGAGAGGTCAATTATGTACATGTGTCATCAAAATAACTACCAGGGTGTGATTAGAGATCGATACTAATGTCAAAAATGCAATTAGAAAACATTTTGTCTGTCTGTCTGTATATTACTTTTTTTTTTTAATGTAATAAGTCAGCAAACGAGCAGACGGATTACCTGTTGGTAAGCAATCAACGCCGCCCGTGGACACTCGCAACGGAGGAGTTACGAGTGCGTTGCCGACCTTTTAGGGATTAGGGATTTGGAGATTTAGGGATCGGGGAAGGGTCCGGGAAGGGGAAGGATTGGGCCTCCGGTAACCTCACTCACACGGCGAAACACAACGCTGTGGTTGTTTCACGCCGGTTTTCTGTAAGGCCGTGGTATCACTCCGGTCGAGCCGACCCATTCGTGCCGAAGCATGGCTCTCCCACACTTATAGAAACAAAAACTACTGGACTTAAACGAAACTTGGCACAACGCTACAATTAATTGGAGCAGAGCAGTGAATGGAAATGTAAGGAGAACACTTTTTTAAGTTTCCGTCGCGTGTGTAGCCTTAATGGTTAAAGTTACATTGAAATTATGTATTACGGAAATATTCTACATAAAGGTATCTAAAAATATTGTATTACAGCATATGTCTATCTTTTATGGTTAACTCACAATAGCACGTGTAACTCCTGATAGCTTATCCATCCATCGCGCCGTCGCTAGACGCGACGCGATTTAAAATATTTACCTATTAAATAGATCCGTACCATTTTATCTATGAACGGACGGGTAGCGGAGACTTGGTAAATAATATTCTTCTAAGTAATATTCTTTCTTCTTTAACCATAAAAATGAGACGATTAATAACAAATTGTATGTATACTTCGATTTTGTTCTATTCCTATAGGCTGCTTTTTATCTACACAGCATGTGGGCGAAGCCGCAGGCGAAGGCTAGTAAAAAATAAAAATGATAACGACAAATTATTGAAGATTGGCCTACACTATTTACTATTGATATCCTTGGCTATCAATGAGATCCATGGCTGTGTATAGTATACATAGGGAAATTATGAATGACCAAAAACCTTTTTCTTTCAAACACAAATTGTTTTTCCAGGTCCGGGTGTGATGTGCATATGAAATTGTACCCACGACACAGGAGAAAATCCTAATGAGGAGCAACGTTCTTTTTAACGATTTAAGTATATAATAGAGAGAAAGAGTGAGAAAACAACAAAGCATCTCTTATAATGCCAGAAGTACGTTTAACCGTGCTGTGTCGTGTCATGCTAAAAGCGTATTGGTCTCATTTCCGTTAAAGAAATATACACCTACGTGGCACGGCAGGTCATACGAAACCTGGGCATTCTGGCGCTTAGCATTCTGCGCGCGCCTCAAAGAGCTAACAGACGAACACAGATGGGACCCAATAGGGCTTCCATTCAGCCGGGGTCGCGGAACAAGCGCAATAATGCATCGTGGCCTCAGCCTGAAGCAGGGTCAGTAACGGTGGGTTCTCCCACCCAGTGCGAGACAACTAATGTAATGATTTTCACCATCAAAAACAGCATTTTTCAAGAATATAATATATAATAAGTATATAATTAAATAATAATCAAAGAAATATTTGGCGAAATTTGTATTATTTTAACGACTGACATATTGTGTATTTTGTTTTTGTTTAAATGCATTGTAGAAATTCAGAAAATGTATACTAATTATGATTGAATAAAGTAGAATTTTGTTTAAAAACCAAAACTGACGATTTAACTGACAAGTTAGTAGTTTAAAAGACAAATAGGAAATAAAAGCTAAAATAATGAAGCACACACACACAAAAAAAAACACAAAAACTGAACCCATTGTAAGAATAATCGATGAATAGCATGCTTTGAACAAAACGAAGATAATAAATGAAAAAATAAGAAAATTTTGAAAAGAAAACTAAATAAAACAAGAAAACACAATGAAGCTGATGTTCACGCAAGTTGCATGTGTACTAGTGAAAGTTTAATTGAAGAAATTAATGTTAAAAATAAAATAACAACTGTTCTTGAAATAATAAACACGTCGATTATAATAAACAAATAGACAATTTCTAAAGGGATTTCAATAAATTAGCAGATTAATGATATTCTGGAGGCTGATACTAAATTTCCTGGGATGTCATGAGTAATGCGCAACTCTACAATGAAGAAGTCGTGAACAAATGACAAAAACACAAAATGATGTATTTCAAAACCAATATATGTATCAGTGCAAATATGATTATTAATGTGAGTACACTTTGTATTAAACTGATTGTTAATAGAATATCTGTTTTACACTTTTTTAGCTTACCTCTTTCCATGTATCGTATTATATTCGTTTGCGTTAAAAACTCTACTCTTTGTTTGTTTTCAGCTTTATTTTGTTTTCATATTTGCCTCTTTCGACCTCACTTTGACATTTTTTTCAAATTTTTGTTAAGCATGGCCTGTTCATATTATGCTTGTTCTATATTAATTTCTTTGCATACGTGCAGTTAATAAATCAACAGTCCCTGATAAACCACTGCTGGAACCACCTCTATAGATATGGATTTACCATAATCTAAGTCCTTCTTAAGTAGAGTGAAAATCGACATAAAACATCTTCAGGTATATCAGAGTCCAGATGCCTGATATTCTTTAATCATTATAAATAAAAAAAATTAATGCGTTGAGCACAAATTATGTTTAGTCAGTAAGAATCTGGCACTCCCTCGTGCCTCGCCCAGGGCATTTCCTTTTTCTACTCATCCTATTTATCTTATAATATTCCAGATTATACTATTGACTTTTCTACTAATAAAGTCATCGATATGTTCAGAGATCATGGACCCTAGATCTCAGGACAAAAAATATTTGTCAGAGTTTTGTCCTTGGCAGAAATATTGCAAAGAAGGTACCCACGTCGTGTGCATGTATTATGACCACGTGAGTATTACAATAAGTATTCCTTGCTATTGGCTTCATGACCGAAATAACAATACATAATATAAAGCATGAGAAATTATAGCTTAAAATAAAAGTAGATATTATGTTAGAAAACTCTTTTCATTATTTTTAAACGTACGATATACGATATACCGATCTTGGCCTAAGAGTTATTATTAATCAAATAGATTTATATGATTTTACCCTAGTAACAATGGTTTTTTTTTGGTTATCACGTAGGGAGACTTATAGTCAGACTTTTAATTCGATTCCTGATTTGACATTGACCACTGTCATTTTGTGAAATAATGATACCACATATAACAGTGTAGTGATGAACACAAAAATCGATAAACAATCAGTGAATCAGTTTCAGGAAGGCATTCAAAAAATTACGGCTACCGAATGGTCTAAATGTGTATCCCATGTTTTCAAAGAAGAGGAAAAAATGAGTAAGCTAGATATGTTAATTGACAATAAATATCAAAGACACAATTCATAATAAATGTTACATAGAGTAACGGCGATAGCGATAGCGATGACGGCGACAATTTATTAAATGTCTGTTTTATTTGTCACGTTCCTTCATGATCACATTTTTTATTAATTTCACACACAATTACAAAAGAAAAGTCTCAGATCGTTAATTAATTGTCAAAACTAAATTATCGGTTCAGAAATATTTTATTTCCTGATAAACTTAGTTTACGAGAGTAAATTTATAAACGAGAGGAGGAATCGATTCAGAAATATTCGATTTCCATATCGAATAATTTCGCAACGTCACTATTTACTACGTGTCATAACGTTGCAACACTGAAATTGTCAAATCTGGAATGGAATTAAAATTCCGAGTATAGTTAGTGTCGTGGCACAATTTCTTCGATGACAATGACATCTAGTATTTATGCCGAAATACCGTCATCATCTATTAAATTTTAATATTATTATAGTAATCCATTTTTGCGAACAAGACAGTTGTGTTAGTAAATAATGTTATTTTCCAACGGAACTGTTTAGTTCAAGAGTTTTCGCATGTTTTAGAATATAATTTAATTATAGACATTCGAGTTTGTTTGTTTGTTTGGTTTGCTATGTGAAATAAAAACTGAAATTCCGTAACAAAATTATAAGCAACGTATACATTAATTGTAAAAATGACAAAATTTATACATATAAAAATAAATAATCCGCAAGGCAGCTTGTGGCGAGCTGTTGGGCAGTGGCGACCCCACGGACCTGACTCCCGGGAGGTGTCTTGTTCTTCTCTCTCCGGTTAGTCCTCGTGACTAGCTGGAGTGAACACTGATGAGGAACAAGCCCTCTCACCTCATTCTTGCCTTAATTGGCTGGCTTGAGTGGAGATTCGCAAGAGTAGGAGTTGAAGGAGACTCGGGGGAAGGATGTATCTCAGTAAGATGCTGGTAGGGGTCTTGACCGTTCTTCCGGGATTGCTCTGATAGCCGTGGGATGCCTCTCCTTCCCCAAGCAGCTCAACGTATGTTGCCCCCGTGTCGCTACATGCTAGCGGCCGTTTCCGGGGGCCCATTAATTGAGTTTGCCAGTCACCCCCTGCCTGTTTATCCGTATGTATCAATATTGGTCAGGGGCAGGGGCCATAGTATTTCCATAGTTTTCATCCACTAGTCCATAGCAACCCATATCCATAACCTTATAAATTTTTACCACATTTCGCAATAGTCCTCCATCAACCGGGGATTGTCCTTGGGTGCACTTTCATAGTGCATACAGGTATAACTGCCGGCTGATGTCCCATTTCACTTATATTAAAGTTGTTCAAAGGGCCTCCGCGAGTTGGCTTCGGCCCCTCGTACGCCTTCCAAAAGTCCGGGACCCTGTGGTCCCGTGAGTGGAAATGAAATATATTTTGACATTTTAGTAATCAATCCTTAGTTTAATAATTATTTATATTTAGGTCTACATAAAAAATATGTTATATTTTATTTCTTCATCTTTACGCAGGAACACGAATTTGGACCACGTTGCGGGAACGCAGTTAGAACAGAAATTACTCCAAAAATGATACAAAGTATACTACAACATGTGAACAAGTAATATTTGAAAAATATATCTCTTTATTAAATATTTCGATCATGTAAATAACAGAGCAGATGGAAAATAAACTCATTTTTATGTGAAACAAGCGGACAGATTGCTTGCTTGTAAGCAATCAGCGCCACCTATGGACAGTCATAATACCAAAGGAGTTACTACAAGTGCATTGCCGGCCTTGTGTGGGTTATTAGGGATTTAAGGCTTAAGGATAGCGGATTTGGGAATTGACCTTCGGGATTCGGGGCTCCGGTAAACTCATTGACATGGCGGAACACAACGTAAATATTACTTCACACCGGTAAGCAATAAACGCCGCCCATGGACACCCGCAATAACAGAGCAGTTACGAGTGCGTCGCCAACCTTTTGGGGATTGGGGATTTGGAGATTTAAGGGTTGGGGGAGGGGAAGGATTGGGCCTCCGGTAACCTAACTCACACGGCGAAACACAACGCTGTGGTTGTTTCACACTGGTTTTCTGTGTGGCCGTGGTATCACTCCGGTTAAGCCGGCCCATTCGTGCTGAAGCATGGCTCTCCCATGCTTATTTTAAAAAACGTGCGAACCCCTCCTTCATTTCAAATTCTAACATAGATTAAATCCCTTTTTGTTTTCTTTAGTATAAGAGGGAAAATAAGCAGTGGCCTTGAAAGAGGGAAAGACAATAAACTCCTGCCGAGAGCTTACGGAATGATGAAAATGGTAATATTTGGAAGACATTATATTCATTTCACTTTTCATAATTAAGAAAAGCAAGCACCTGCAAAGCTTTGCAGTTTTCCAATAAAAAAACTGGTAGAATAAAAACGGTCTGCTCGCTAGACTTCTATTCGAAAATAAGATCTTTGCTTAAATTTCCAAGTTTAAATTCAAGCAAATATATTATATGAAATCACTAGCTTCCGGCCGCGGCCTCGCTCGCGTAGTAGGTATTATGATAAAAGACGCCTATGTTCTATTCCGGAGTGTATCATATGCCTGTGCCAAATTTCATCCAGTTCCGTCAAGCCGTTTTGGCATGATTGAGTAACAAACATCCAAACATCCAAACATCGTAACCTTCGCACAATTAAGATAACACATCAACATTAAGCGGAAGACTGCTGCTGGATGAAGACCTCCCCTTTAATCCAACTCGCCATTAGCATCCATCTTCTAACACCTTTTGTACCGTATTTTAGCAAATAAACATGTTTGATTTGCTTTGATCTGATCTGATCCTCCCGCAGTGCTTTCTGGACCTTCATCACCACTCGAGCACTTGTCCACGCTACGTCTTTCCGACTAATTCTTAGAGCACCCTTCTGGCCCATAGGCTGTCTGTCCTTCAAGCAATGTGTGCCTGAAGATCAGCTGGGGCTGCGAGTGCAGGTACATTAGTATTCCGCAGTACCAGCCTGGAGCAGGAGAAGGAACTGGGTGGTTTTTAGTCAGTAAGAGTCTAACTCTCTCACCTCACGCGCGAAAAGGAATTTGATAATTTCCCCCTTCAAAAAGTAATGTAAATTTTTAAGGATATATCAAATCAGTGACATGCAATTTTATATTTTAGAAATGGGATGAAGAATTGGCGACGTTAGCTAAAGTACTGGCCAATCAATGTATGGGAGGAAGAGAGGACACGTGCAGAGCAACAGGTAAATCACGATACTATTTTAAATGACTTTATAGAGAACATATTTAAATATAGAAAACAGCTCCATCTAGGTGATTCTCCGAAAAACATTAGCCTACCTTTTTTGAACTAATCATTATCCTGCCGCATTGTTAAGCATATCAGTAAGTTATTAAATATTATAGGATTACTATTGAGAATTATGAGGTTGCCCGCAATTTTATGTTTCATTGAAGAGAAAACTTCGTTGATTTTTGTTTACTTGATGAAAAGAATTACCCAACTATCATAAATAACCCAATTTGGTTACGTTACCAGAAAGTGATCGTCAATTACTCGCATGGACATCAAGACGCACATATATACTTGCTCAGTGTCTAATAAACGACCCATCAATTTTGTCATTTCGGACGCGCTACACTGTCGGGGCAGCGTAACAGCATTCTCAGCGCATTATTATATTGTTAAAAAAATATTAAAAACGTATTGAATTCCAGAAAAATTCCCGAATCCAAGTCAGAGTATTGCCATAATACACTTTAAGTATCCAAACTGGGAGTACATAAGGCACAACAACAACAACACTGGAAAAGGTTTGAACGAAGAAAAACTAATGTTTTCTATGGAACGGTTTTTAAAATCTGCCCATATCTTGAAGAAAGCCGTGACAAAGGATATCATTGTGGAATGTCCTCCGTATAATGAGTAAGTACTAGAAAGGTTTTTATAAAGTAAGAATACTATCGGCGCCGCTCATGGAGACCTGTGGCACCGGAAGTACCGGAACAGCTAAATTGGCGTTAGTCATTTGGGGTTGTTGATTTTTAGGTATTTGAGGATTGAGGATTTTTGGATTGGAGATGGGAGAAAGTTCTGAGGTTCTGATAGCTTCAGTCACATGTCAGAAGACAACACAAATTTTGTTTCCCGATATACTTATATGTAGTCGTAGTATCACTCTGAACAACTATTAAATAGTTGTACATTGGGAATTTTTGCCCGAAAAGACGTGTGTTGTTACTTTTATATACATACGTTAAATCTTCTATCACTATCTTCTGCCAGCGGCTTTACCCATCTGGAAAGAAGCATACGTGTTATTATATACTCCAAACTAGCTCTGTGCCCATTTTCTCCAAGTGAAACAATAACTAAAATCTTTCCACCCATCCATCTATCAGTCAGGATTGCGGGTGCAAATTCAATAATGTCCCATGGTCCCAGCCCGATAACGGGTCCAAGGTCTTCACTAAGTTTGCCTAGATGTCGTCTCCATACCCGAACATGTCTACCTCAAAGACATTGTACTTGTGCAACTCCTCTGATATTGCGGGTGTCCAAATGCTTGCAATCAGGTAGGCTGCGTTGAATGAAAAAATATAATGACGGGAGAAGTAATTTGACGGTTTTCACTCCCCAAAAATCCCATCCCCGCATTTTCCATCAATCCATACATATTTGCTTATAAACTGTTTTATTAATTAACACGTTCACTGCGCCATCATTTTCAAAGAACTTTCAGCTGGTGCTTTGGAGACCTAAAAGATCTCGAAACTAATCTGCCCTTTAGTGCGTTTGAGACCTAATCAGTCTCCTAAAAATACAGTTTTGACAATAACTCATATCTTCCAGAAAACCAATGACATATATTTTAAAGTTTATGTGGGTGAAAGATAGCCTGTTGCTCTATATTTTGCTAGGTTCGCACGCAGTTATGACATTTGTATAAACTACAAATACCAAAAAAAAAATAGGTATCGGTCGTATCTCATACCGCAACCGAAGATAGTTCAATATGTGTAGTAAGTAGTGATGGGAACAAAATAATATCTCAGTTGTCGATTTAAAAAATTATTAATACTTGTTACTTCTAGTTTACTATAACAACGTTTTTGTTATAATGACTGAAATTGTTATTGCTAATGTTACCAGAAACTTGCCAGAGAGATGTGAAACCGGGTTCCCCGCCGTGTAGTAATGCTTACATAATTGTAACACTATAACATTAGAGATAAGCAGCAAAGCCCACCAGGAATGCGACTAAGATAAGACAGTCACAGCAACAACCAAACATTTTCAGGCAATCAACAGAAGAAGTACATTAACACAAAAACTACGTTTAGTCCAAAAAAGCCAGGCACATGTGCCTGCCAGTCGGCAATAATGCCTAAATTAATGTTATTTAAATTGTATCCAAGAAGACGTCTATTCAGTAAACTGGAATGATTGAAATGGTGCATAATAAGCTCGACTTCATGCGAACCGTGCTGCAGTTAGTTGACGATGCTTAGCATATGCGTTGTCTGGAACCATTACCTTAGTTTCTGGAGAGATTTTAGCTACCTTTATGAGCATATGTTTCCTTCTAAAATCACTCATTGTTAATAAAAAGTAATCAACACGTACACGACGTATATACGCGAGTGTTATTTCCGATTATCCACGTCGATGCTAGGACAACACTAACACGAGTCACGGAGCGCCCGCGCCGCCCTCCCTTCCTCTCTTGCGTCTACGAGGCCTATGATTCCACGAGTATCGACATATCTCGTAACGCAAGAAATAAAAATAATTATAGTACTGTGCGTTAGGGATCTAATCCATCTCTAATTTATTTTTTAATGTCTTTAAATTCAGTTTTAAGTAGAACGCAAATATGTATATGTGTCTTACTCATACATAAAGAACTTTACAAGTTAGATCCTCCCGCAAGGAGTGAAACAACACGATTTTATTCAACGCACAATAGAAAAGTTCTGCAAGAGATCTGATAGATCTCGTAATGCAGCGAACGTGTTAAATAAAAAGGACGCTTTGCATGTGTAACTGACCGTTCACTTACCAACAATTTGCATTATGTTTTGTGACATTTGAATTTTTTGTTTTTAGCTTACCAGATCTGAATTTGAAATACTATCTCAAATTAATACGAGGTGGAGCTACACACATTGGTTGTGGTATCTCTGCGTATTCCAAATACAAAGTTGATGGCCAAACTGAATCTATTCAAAACGTAAGAATTTCACAATCCATATAATTTAATTAATGCAAATATTTCAAAATATGTGCATCATTCATAACGCGGTACATACGAAATGAGACAAACAGCAGAGTTTTTTTTTATTTCGACAAGCTGTATCGAATATGTCAATAACAACATACACATACATACGTGACCAGTCTATAAGTGCCCACTGCTGCGCTAAAGCCTCTTCCAGCACTTCCTGAGGAGGTTTGAGCATTAATCACCACGCTTGCTCTAAGTTCTGCTGCAATTAGTCCAGGTTTTCCTTGACGAAAATAATCATAGAAAGTACATATAACTTGGAAAAAATTACATTGGCACTTGTCAGGCTTAGAACCCTTATACATGAGAAGCAGGTGCCTTAACTTTCAGGCCACCATGATACCATAACAACAAACCGTGACACAAAATAATATCCGCCTGGTTGAACAAAGATATTGCTGTTGATGAGGATTAAATATTAATTTAATTACAGAGTGTACAAGTTGTATGCAATATCTCAGAAGGTCCTCAATCTGGTGAGCCTGTCTACAATACTGATCCTCCAATACCTGGTCAGGGTCTTACAAAGCGCTGTGGCTGTCCAAAAGGATACAAGGAAACGAGGAACTGTCTTTGTGAAAAAGTATCAGACGAATGGATAAGTATGTTTCATTTTGTCTCTCTAACCAATAGTATCTCTATTGGATTTTGATTATATTTTGTTCTTATCGTCTCATCGATCGTTCCATGTTATGCCACAAATGGGCTGACATGGCCCAACTAATAATAGAACCTCACAAAAAAATATTTCGTAATGCGAGCTAGGTTACTTGAGACCCAATTCTTCAGCCCCTATACTTCCAATTAAGAAATCCCAAATCCTCATGTCTATGTATTATTTTTGCAATCTTTGAGCTTATAAAAAGGTAACATAGCAGTCACATGAAAAACCTTGAATCTGGTGATATTTATTATATATATTTTATTTACTTAAATCTACCTCAGACGTCAGCGATCCAAACACAGCACCTACTTACTTTAATTTGTAAAATTTCAGATCATAATCACAAAACAATAACGTTTCGCCCTCACTGGGATTTGAAAAAACACGGCTTTGCAGAAGATACCACGAAACCGAACTATAGCAAAAGTAAAAGTGTTGAAAACCTAACTGTTGAAGATAATAATGATAAATTCGAAGTGAAAATGACGGATCATCCCTCTTCTGTAATTAAATCCAGCAAGATCAAGGGAATGGCTAGCAAAAATAATGAAATGCATAGCCCAAGGTAAAGATTTACTTGTAATAACCATGTGTCCATCATCAAAATATTATTTTTAACTTTTAAGCCCTGTTTTATATCTTTGCTTGTATAATAGACCACTGAATGATCACCGAAATACAAATACAATTCCACTGTTAGATGTTGATAAAAAAAATGAAATATGCACTCGCTCCCAATAATTATTCTTCTATTTTTAGAAACAAAAATGTAAAAATAATCAATAGGAAGAATTTAGATGATATCAAACCAAATCACATGATTAGAAAAATGGCTGATGATTCTAATGAATCACTGCAACAGGTAAATTACTTGTAACTTTCACATTGATTCAAAGCTTAAATGTATAAAAAACATAATAAAATTGCTTGTACAACTATACAACTTGTGTCTATAAAACTAAATGCAACATTCACAACTTCAGATAATAACAAAACCAACAGTAACAAAGAAGAAATACTTAAGGCCAAAACCAAATGTTAAGAAAAACATAAGCTTTAAAAAACAACCTAGTATCTTAGACATTTCTGAATCCAACAGAAGCAAACTTGAAAAGAAAAAGCCTTTATCTAGCGTTACAGATGATGAATTTTCGTACAATATCTTTGAAGAAGTTACAAACGAAAATCCTTTAAACAAAGCAGAAAACAATTTTGTTGTCAACTATCAGAATAAAAATCAAAACTTACATAAAAGTGATGGGCTAATGGTTAAAGAAAAGAAAGATGACAAACGGCTACAAAATGTATTAAATATGTTAGAATATGAAGTGAAAAATATTGATTTTGATACCAATCTAAAACATTTCTTTGATACAAAAATGAAACAAATTTATAAATTAGCTGTAAATAAAGCTAAAGAATCTACATCCATGAAATCACCATTTAAAAAACCAACAGTAAAAGCAGACAAGATTTTGAGAGATACAAAATTATATTCTGACAATAACAATAATATTAACAATGAAAATGAACAAGTGGGGACCAAAACGATCAAAGATTATCATAATAGAGAACAAAAAGCTATAGCAGATGAAACGTTCACACGCAGTCAAATTGATGGAATCGACAATATGGACCGTAACTATGATGACGTAGAACACATGTATGAAGAAACTCCAATCGAAATGCAAGAACATATTCAAAGTGCAATTGACAATGGTTACGAAGATATGCCTGTTATTGATTCAAATACAAGAAATGTTTATAAAATAAGTCAAAATCAAGGGCAGAAGAGATACCCAAACAATGATTTTAAATACAATGATATCTTAAATGACAAATATTCCGTAGATCGCCAATACGAAGACAATCCAATAAAGTATGAAATCAGAAATCAACAAACTCTATTAACTAATAACAGTAGTTCTGACATTATAAATAAACTATCACCAATGTCAATTAGTTTTAAAAACTCTGATAACTTTGATGAAACCATCGATGAAATAAGGCCGAATGAATCATCGGAAATGGCAAATTCTGGAAGGCAAGATGGGCGGGAGAGAAAAAATATTAAAATATCAATTTTCGAAAATGAGAGACCTTTAGCCGAAGAGTATGATCTTAATATGTTTGAAAGAAGAGCTAAACTCCAAGATAATGAGCCACAATTTACTCGTTCGCAACAATTGCAATTCGATCGACAAACCCAAGTGAGTAACCGGTATCAAAACTGTTCATAATTTTAGTACCTCACCTACCTCTTCTAGAACAAAAGGCGTGTCGAAATAAAATATATATATAATACGCTGGCCATATTACAAATATTATAGATGTGGAAGTTTGTCTCAATGTATGAATGTTTTTTTTATGGTATAAGTCGGCAAACGAGCAGACGGATTACCTGATAGTAAGCAATCGGCGCCACCCATGGACACCCGCACCACCAAAGGAGTTACGAGTTCGTTGCCGGCCTTTTGGGGATAGGGGTTGCGAATATAAGGATCGGGAAGGGATAGATGAAGGGAAGGGATTGGGCTTCCGGTAACCTCACTCACACGGCGAAACGGCTGAACAGATTTGTTTGGGATTTGCTATGTAGATAGGATAGGTCCTGGATTAATTCATATGCTATTTTTACACGACTACCCAAAAAAAGGTGTGTTGTGTTTTAGGGATCATGTATGTGATTTTCTTAATTCCACTGTAACTTCCAAACGCCTGGACAGAATTAGGCGTAAAGCATATCGTTTATCGTTTATCATTAGGCGGAATTCTTAAACCATTCCGGGTGACATATAGACTACAAAGGGTGGGGTTTTGCTTACAAATAACAATGTGGTTGCTAAATAGCTTAAATAATCAGATATTTCAAAAAAAATCTCAATACAGCATGTGTTTAAATTTAAAAAAAGATCTCAAAACAGCATGGTGGAAACATCTGGTATATAATTATAATTATCTGGAATTGGAAGAGTAGATTACGAATATATATTTCATTAGTGTTCTATTACGAGAGACTAGTATTCAAGAAAAACATATTTTTATATAAATAAATCACGCGTAGCTAATAATGTAATGTAAACCATTACTTTAACTCCATATTATATTTTTTGTTCCAGAATGGCGATCTCCGACAAATGCTTTTGTTGCGACCTCAAAAAGAAAAAGGAATTTACAGAACAAAAATTCTTGATCAGACACTTCCACAATACTCAAGCGAAAGAGACGTATTTGAAAGTCCTTAAAAAACTCTGTAACTAATAAATAAAAACTACGGATCCACTTTTTCAAAAGCAGGTTTTGAATTAAATTAGACTTGTGAAAATAACGTTTTGTACCCTTTTTGCTGTGTAAATAAAAAACTGAGTTTTACAGACCGAAACTACGTTTCAGTTATGATTTAATTGATTGTATAATTTGTGTAATGGATGTGTTTTCAACTTTTCATAGATTTCTGGACGGAACCACTTTGAGTGTGTATTGCGTATTGTGAAAATTAAATTTGGCATCGCACTCGTGAAGTATATAGGTATACTAGTGAAGAAAAACATTATTTATTGGGTACTCAAAGTCAAAAACCAAATTTAAAATCATTGAATCTAACCATACCATAACCATTTAGGGGCTTATGAAACGTGGGGTTGCGGGGTAAGCGCAATGAGGCACCGCGACCTCGGCCCAGAGCAGGTGAAGCAACGGGGGGGTTTTTAGTCAGTAAGAGTCTGACACTCCCTCCCGCCCGGCCCTGGGCGGGAGAAGTCATTGGATGATTTTCCTCTGACAAAAATAGAATAAAATCAGACAGTCTGTTCATCAGTGGTGCTCGTTACAAATTGTAAAATATAATTGAGAAGAACAAACAAGAAACTCCATCGTTACTCATGTAAAAAAAATACGGTTTACAAGTTTCCCAATACATTATTATACCCATAAGTAAGAACAGTGCAGAGAACAAGTTGTTAAAGAAAAAAAGAAAAAAAGATGGGATCAATTCCATATAATTAAATTTTAAATCCATTATTGTATCAAAGATGGCGCTCACGTAGGTGTACTGTAGGTCGGCAAATGAAAACACGGATCACCTGATGGTAAGCAACATGCCCATGGACACTCGCAGCACTATAGGAGTTAAAAGTGCATTGCCAACCTTTTGGGGTAGGTCAGGGGTTTAAGAAAAGGAGGTTTGGAGATTGAGAATGAGTGGTGAACCATACGAACAAACGCAAATATTTTTAGGACAGAAACAAAAAATAGACAATAGAAATACACCGGATTGGCAAACCTAATATATTATATACTTAATCAAAATATCCTTTAAGTGTGGGAGAGCCATGCTTCGGCACGAATGGGTAGGGTCGACCGGTGCTATACCACAGCCTCATAGACAACCGCAGCGTTGTGTTTCGCCGAGGGAATGAAGTTACCAGAGACCCAATTCTCCCCCTCCCCCAAACCAAAAACCCTAATCTCCAAAAGCCCGGCAATGCACACGTAACTTTCTTTATTATGGTTGTACATGGGTGGCGCTGATTGCTTACCATCAGGTTAGCCGGTTCGTTTGTCGTTCTTATAAAATATAAGAAATCTTGTAAATAATACTTTACGCAATAAAATAATGTTGCATAATGAGGATGATTTTCCATCGATATCAATTAGGAAAATGCACCTTATTGAGCGCTAAAAGTAAGGCATATAAGAGAGGATGTTGTTTCAATGTTGTAAGTCAAATTGCTTTGCAAAACATGCGATAAGCTCGCTAAAATGTTCGCCAAATTTTTGCTAAAAGTAAATGCATGGATACCGCGTCAGTATCACAACTTAAATTGTCACTTGAATTAAACACAGAAGCAGCAAACCATAGTAATTGGACATAATCCTAAAAAAATAATGACAAAAAAGAAATTATCAATGTTTTCTAAAATTTATCAAGAGTTCAAGACGGGCAACAAACACAAGAGAGATCAAAAAAGACATGTTTCTTAATAGCTTGTCCGTCTGACTCTGGTGTGCCCAGAATAGCAATAGAACAATTCGGCAAAAATCGAAAAATTCTTTAAAAAAATCTTTTTCAAATATTGTATAGTTCCATTCAACGTTATCGCTAAAAAGGGAAACAATTAAGTGAGGTTTATCAACAACTACGAAGTCCAATAAGAAAAAGTCGAAACCCCAGAATGCTATTGGTTTGAATAAGAACACAACGTCGCCAGTTGTTCGTATGAAGATTTCGCAAAAATGACTGGCTGTTCACCATTTTTTATTGTATCATGCCTTTTCGTTTTTGTTGTTTCCAAAGAGTTACATGAAAAACTAGTGAGTGATAAAACCTTTTTGATTAGTTTAACGGATATTTTTATGGCTAAAATTGTTACGTGATTATTAAATTTCGCATTTTCTATCATCTTCAATCCTTTTTTGTTTTGAAGGCAAACAAAACAATATTTAATTTTCCGAAATGTAGAATTTATGAGGTTCTTTTGTTTAAAACATCAATGTATTTGAATTTCAATGAGATATTATATGTATATTATGCAACTACTAACAAAATCTATAACATACTCAAAAAAAAACTTATGACGTTTCAAAAGTTGTGGACCTTCTTGACTTGTGACTTTATTATCTATCCATTTTTATATTTTTTTCTTTTACAGACATTGGAAGCAAAAGATAAGGACGATCAAGGCTTCATTAATTTATTCAACAACCAGGACTCTTTAAACAAGAATGATCGGGTATGACATACATTAATAATTATACTTCATAGGCACATGTTTCTAAATATTGGAGACTCAATTACCATTAAAGAAGAAAATAATGTTTCTAAAGAAAGTATCATATTCAGTTGCAGATTTAACCAATCCGATGCGTTTCTTCTATAAAAAGATCTACTATACTAAAATCTCTGAGTCTGTCTTTTCCTGAGGGAGTAAAAATATGAAATGGCACTAGATGGAGCGGGACGGAATATCAGACTCATAGTGACTAAAAACTACCCGTCATTACTGCACTTGTAAAATTGGTTCTGTTAAGCCCATATTTGATGGTATAATGACATGTATAGTGTAGATGGCTGAATGGCTGAATATACGGAATATACGCATAAGCTAGTTTTCACCCTTATTCTGTTAATGAAGCTGGGGGCAATTAAACCAGATTCTAAAACAGAATTAGTTTTCATCATATCCTCTCTAATGTGGACATGCAAGGTGAATCATTAATCATATTTCTATTAACTACTTGGTATCTTTAAGAAGAGTCTCATGTATTTTTGCAGTATGTTCGTCATGTGAAAGCGGTAACGGAGAGCGTCCTCGATCACCTCTTCAACGAAATCAAACATCACTACTATAGTCCGAAATATAACCCAAACAGTCCAATTACACGACTGATGAAGAATTTAAACAAAGAGTTAAAGAGAAAAGAAAAAAGCAAGCTAAAGAAAGAAAAGAAAAATAATAAGAATAAAAAAAGCAAAAGAAGAAGAATTAAGACCACAACAGACACTTATTAAGAGTTCAGCACGATCGAAGATGAGGTTAAAGAAGATTATTATTTATTAATTGCCCAACAAAGTACAAAAGTACTGCTCTTATTTAACTAGCTATTCTCGCGCAGTTTCACCCGTTGCTCGGCTCCATTCAATCGTGGCGTGATTTTTGATAGCCTATAGCACTCAGGAACATTGTAGCTATCTATCAGTGAAAGAATTTTGGAAAAACAACCAGCGGTTTTAAATATTACCCCCTACATACAAACTTAAAAATTTTAGCTCTTTATAATATTATTAGTATAGAAAAAAAATCGGCGTCGTCCATTATTTTAATCTAGTTCATCACATAAATTTGAATTAAAAGGAATTGTAATATACGTACCTAACACTACGGATTTTTGTATACCTATAATCACATACCTATTATTTATTTGAATAAAGTTATCTAAGGTCTATCCCTTCTCAATCATTAAATCCCCAAAACCCCTTATCCCCGAAAGACCGGTAACACATTGGCAAATTCTCTGGTCTATTGGCGGCACCGATTGCCTACCATCAGGTCTGGTAATCCATAAATGTCCGGTGGTCTATTGATGACCTGGTGGTAATCAACAACCATTACATTGGCCTTTATAGGGCCATTATATATCTGTTGTCCCGCCGGACTTGCGACGCTAGTGTAATAGGGTACCGCGGACTCAGCCTAGAGCAGGAGAAGGTACGGGTTTTAGTCAGTAAGAGTCTGACACTCCCTCTCACCTTACCCTGGACAGGAGAAGACATTTATATGATTTTCCCCTCACAAATAAAAGCACTAGCACAAGTAGTCCTGAGATCTTAATTTTTAACTCAAAACTTTCATACAAATATTTAAGTTGCCACCGTACACAGTTATTTTTTATTTATTTACTGACTCCAGGTACAAATCGCTAGTGGCGCCAATCCACTTATGTATATGCCAACAATATAAAAGATTGATTTATCTTCTGTCTTTCTCTTATGATGTAACAGGTCATAGGAACTATTTTTAAAAACGAAGTAAACCTTGATAAGCTGCCTAACTTTTTGGGGAAAATGACAAGAGAGTGTTGGATTTTTACCCGACTAAAACCTCCTTGTTGGCCAATATCGGCATCTGTAAGGTCCTCACAGATCATCGCCGGAGTTTCTGCGGTACAACGCCTGTTACGGCACATCACTATCAAAACCAACTTGTCTTCTTTAAGAAGTGAACCCTACAGGACTGTAAAAGTCCCAAGATACTCACCAAGATCAAAACGAATATTTTGTTGACGTGCATGAGGAAACTGATGACTGAAGAATGGGGAAGAAAGGGATATAATAGTTTCATAATATTTTTCTTGCAAGATTGAACAGGCAGATATTTTTTTTCTTTTAAAACCCTTGTAAAATATGATCTTCCTGAGCATAAAATAACTAAATTGTCTTGGGTAACCTAACTCACACGGCGAAACACATCGCTGTGGTTGTTCCACGACAGATTTTTGTGAGACCGTAGTAGCACTCCGGTCGAGCCGCCCCATTCGTGCCAAAGGTTGGCTTTACCACACTTAAAAGTTTAGGAGAGCGTACTTAAAGAAATTGTACTGTGTGAGGTTGGAAAATTGTATACAGATTAAATAAAAACAATAAAGCTAATCGTTCATTTTAATATGTACAATTATATCAACCGGTTTTGTTTTCTTGTCTTCGTCTGAGTCAGAATTATTACTACCGTCTTTAATAGCTTTCTTTACAAACTTCTTTTTATGAATGCTGTGGTGTGGTGTATTGTGATTGTGGATTTTATATGCAATGTTCCCAAATTCCGCCTTTTCTGTTTCTGCGCCCGTGACTGTTCTTTGCTCCATCTGAACGACAGGTTGGTGTTTTTTTCTGTGATTTTTCTTGTGTTTCTTTATCTTTTTCTTTTTTTTGGGTTTCCGTTGTAGTTCTGTAACCATTTCAGTGTCGGGCTCACTCTGAAAAGAAATTCGATAAAAATTAGTTGTGATTATTTTTCTGAGAATGATTTCATATTGTATACCTTTTTTATTGCATTAGTCTGGGTGACAAGCACTAATTTCACTACCAAAAATCTGTCTAATTTTTATCTGTTCGAAGCATTATTATATTATTGGCGGAAGAGTGACGTCTTGGCTGTCATCGGAGGGGATGTTGGTGGGAGAAGCTACGGTTGCCTATAAAAGGGCCTGCGCGCTCAGTGGAGTCCTCTTTCTGCGTTGAGTACACATGGTACAAGGGAACCTCTGCTCGTTTGAAGGGTTAAACTGTCTTGTCTGCTATTAATTTTGCGTGTCTTTAGTTTAGATTGATCTATGTTTGTAATTTCAAAATTCGTTATTTAATTAAAATTTAAATTGTTGTTTATTGTAATTGTGTTATTAATAAATAAGATTGTGATTTGTATTTTTTTTAATATTTTCTTCCTGAAGTTGCCAAAATCAGAAGTGGGATACGCCTCGCGTTCCATTTCGTTTTGTTCGCCTTGAATCAAGACAGTTTAAAACTTCGTAACGTATTTTTTTTTCTTTTTCTTAAGTGGGTACATTTCAACATTTAAATTAACTGTTAAGCATTTGTAACGTCCGCGTAATTAATAAGGTTCAAGTGTAAGTGTGTATTAGTGGTTTTGGTGAGTACGTTCCAGTTTTTCTTGATATTTAGAAAGCAAATTCTTTTGTTTACGTATAGTTGTAGAATTTTACAATCATATGTTTTGATTTGTTGCTATTCATACAATTGCTTTGATTTATTTAAATTTTCTACCGATTCCTTTTATTTGATTTGAAACAAGTTAGAAAGAAACAAGATGCCTAATAGCCATAGAAGAAGAGGCCGTTCAGTGAGTCGAGAATCGCGTCATCATCGTCGTGATGTGCGCTCTAGGAGCCGTGAATCTCGCTCTCGGGGTCGCATCTCACGTTCTAGGGGTCGTGAATCGCACAATAGTCGACTTGATTTGCAAGGGAATAGAATTCCTAGGCAACCTGATATTGCTTCTAACAGTCTATTAACTCAACAAATGCAACAAATTTTAGATCGATTGACATCGCTTGAGGAAGACCGGCGTGTGTCACGTGCAGCATCGCTGCGACAACCGTCCAACCAGCAGCAGCAGCTCGTGGAAGAGACTGCGACTACGGCACGAGATGGAGCAGGTTTTCGTGACTCGGCAGCTCCGTCTTCACCTGGACGTTCCGTGAGTGCAGCCGCCGATCGCGATGCTACCGTGACCGATCGTTTGATTGACGCCATACGATCCATCAACACTACGGTAAGATCCAACCAAGCTTATTTTATTTCTAATTTCGATCCTAGTGTCAATGATATAGACACTTGGTGCGAGGAGGTAGACCGCGCGAAGGTTTCAAATAATTGGACTGATAATGAATGCTTGTCCCGCATTGGGAATTGCCTCAAAGGAGATTCGAAGACGTGGCTCAATGAGTGGGTCACTAGTGACCGCACATGGAGCAACTTTATAAGGGAATTCAAGCCCTTATGTCCTAGGAAGCCAGATGTAGCGAATATCCTATACGAGGTTATGAGCACAAACTCTGATAGGTACCCAACATATGCCGATTATGCCCGTCGCTCTTTATTGAGACTCCGTATAGTCAAGGGCTTAAGTGATGAACTCATTTCTGCAATTGTGATTCGAGGCGTAATGGATCCTCAAATCCGCGCCGCTGCCACAAATGCAAAGCTAATGCCTAACGAATTAGTAGAATACCTCTCCATCTACGTTAAATCGAACTTAAACTCAAAAAAGTATACCAACCCTTCTAATAATGATCGTTCTTTTAAATCTACCCTCGAAACAAGTCAGCGTAAGCGAAAATTCGAAGATGGCACATGCTTTTTGTGTGGGAAATATGGTCATAAGTCTTCGAATTGTCACAAACGCCAGGCTGCTAACAGTTCTAATAATAGCAATGGAAATGTACAAAGAAATTATCCAGTCTCCAGCTCAAGTAAAACAGAGCCATGTAGTTTTTGCAAAAAACCTGGTCATAGGGTAGAAACGTGTTTCGCTAAACAAAAATCAGAGTCGAATAACGCGGAAAATGTTAACTTTTGTCGTAAGAATCTTGACAGCGGGCGTAACGATATTGTTGTAGCGGTCATTCAAGGCATACCTGTCGATGTCCTCATCGACAGCGGGTCGAGCATATCACTGATTTCATCTTCGTTACTGAAATATTTTAAATGCGCGCGCAAGCCTGCCTTCAGAATTTTAAGAGGTATCGGTAGTCAAGACGTTGAATCTACTTACTATGTCACGTTGCCGATAGAATTCGATGAAATAACCTTGGAGGTAGACTTGCATGCAGTATCGCCAGAGTTTCTAAACACGCCTGTTATTGTTGGGACTGATGTGTTAAATCGTGACGGAGTGACCTACGTTCGTACACGTGATCGACAACATCTTGCTTATAATAATAGGTCGCCATATAACGTTATGTGCGCTGTGACAATACATGATACCCCCATTAAGACACCTTTGACCGGTCGCGACCTAGAAAGGCTGCTTGAGTTGATCAACGAATTTTCAAAATTCTTTATTTCCGGGACTGCTGCCACCACAGTCAATACTGGCAGCATGTCTATCAAATTAAATAATCATACGCCTGTTAATTATAGACCATACAGACTTTCGTTGCCGGAAATTTTGAAAGTTCGTGGAATTATTCGCCTAGAACTCCTAGATTCCGAATCTGAATATGCGAGCCCAATCCTCCTAGTAAAGAAAAAGGATGGATCAGACCGCATGTGCGTAGATTATCGCAGGCTTAACGGGATTACTGTCAAAGACCGTTTTCCTTTGCCGTTGATTGACGACCACATTGACCGGTTAGGGAAACACAAATTTTTTAGCAGCCTTGATATGGCAACAGGGTTCCATCAAATCCCATTGGACGAAGAGTCGATTCCGCTCACGGGATTCGTCACACCAGAAGGGCATTATGAGTATTTAAAAATGCCCTATGGTTTGGCGAACGCCCCCGTCGTTTATCAGCGTATTATATCGAAAACACTTCGCCGTCAGCTTGAGGCTGGTAAGACCCTTGTGTACATTGACGATGTGCTGATTCTTAGCCATACGATAGATGAGGGCCTTATTCTTCTCCGCGACGTACTTCAGACACTGACTGCGGCAGGTTTTTCTATCAATTTAAAGAAATGCTCATTCTTATCGACTCAAATTGAATATTTAGGCCGCACTATAAGTCAGGGTCAGGTACGGCCGAGTGAGCTAAAGGTCCAGGCACTCGTTGACGCCCCCACTCCAAAAACGGTCAAGCAAGTTCGTCAGTTGCTAGGTTTGGCAAGTTATTTTCGCCGATATATATCGGGTTTCGCTGCTAGAACGGCCCCGATTACTAAACTCACGAGAAAGGGTATACCGTTTCTTTGGGGAAGAGAACAAGAAGAAGCACGCCAAGAAATTATCTCACAATTAACCAGTGAGCCTGTGTTGGCAATCTACGACCCTAACTTGCCTATTGAAGTCCATACGGACGCAAGTTCTATTGGTTTTGGCGCTGTGCTTCTTCAGGTTCATGAGAACGGATGCAAGCAAGCGGTAGGTTATTTTAGCAAGCGAACGCAGGGTGCCGAGCCCAGATATCATTCGTACGAGCTCGAGACGCTAGCCGTTGTCAAGGCCCTGCAACACTACAGACACTACCTGGTCGGCGTTAACTTTAAAGTAGTGACCGATTGTAATGCACTGAAATCAACGCAGCAAAAGAAAGATCTCTTGCCCCGTGTTGCCAGGTGGTGGATGTACCTACAGGACTTCGACTTTACCCTAGAGTATCGTAAGGGTACGTCTATGTCGCACGCAGACTACTTGAGCCGAAATCCTGTTAATGTTTGCGAAGTACGCAGACAACAGAATTGGGCTCGAATTGCGCAGGCGGCTGACGAAGAGACACAACAGCTTATCCAAAGACTGACAGACGGACAGCTAGACACTACTCATTACGTTCACAAAAATGACCTGCTTTTTTATAAGTGTTCTCCAGTGGGAGAAGAGCCCAGGTACTTATGCTATGTACCTAAAGGTCATAGGCTTAGTCTGCTTAGGATATTTCATGATGAACATGATCATATTGGCGCTGATAAGACTTTAGAGCTTATTAGAAAACATTTTTGGTTTCCTTCACTAAAGTCATTTGTCAAAAAATACATAAGCCATTGTATCATTTGTTTAACCCATAAAAAGATTCCTAGAGACCCACAGCAGCCAATACATTCTTGGGAAAAACCCTGCACCCCTTTTGAAGTAATTCATACAGACACATTAGGTCCTCTACCTCAATCAAATGGTTATCGCTATGTACTCATTATAATCGATGCTTTTTCAAAATTTTGTCTTTTGTATCCTATGTTTGGTCAAGACGCTAACGAACTGAAACGACTTTTTACAAATGTCATTTCTCTATTTGGTACACCAAAATTAATAGTAGCAGACCGAGGCAGAATGTTCCAGAGCTCAGAGTTTACAAAACTCGTAACTGAGTTGGGCATTGATTTGCATCTGATCACTCCGGAGATGCATCATTCAAACGGGCAGGTGGAGCGTTACTGTCGAACATTGTTAAACATGATTCGCATACAATGCAATCATCGTCAAGATGAATGGGCAGACTTGATGTGGCGATCTCAGCTAGTTCTTAACATAACAAAGCAGAAAACCACTCAGCTTTCACCATTGAACTTGTTGGTTGGTATTGAAGCTGCTACGCCCCTCATACGTCACCTGGTGCGCGACGTGGCCTTGGATAGTTCGCATCCAAATCGTGAAGCGCATAGAGAAATGCACAGACAACGAGCTTCGGAGCGTTTAGCTCGGAACCAACGTCAACAAGACGAGACTGTGAACGCTGGTCGAAAATCCCCCCGATCATTTGAATGTAACTCACTTGTTTTTGTTATTAAGCAGGCGCAATCGACTGGCAAGCTTGACTCCGGCATGCGCGGACCCTATCGCGTGGTCAAAGCGCTTCCCCATGGTCGATACGAGCTGCAACTACTGGCAGGTTCCTATGGCAAATCGACGCAAGCTGCGGCCCAGTTTATGAAGCCGTGGCGCGGGGAGTGGACTCCAGAGACATGCGCTGCATACTTTGATGGTAAGACGTATGATATGCTAACGTCGTGCCTATGTCATACGTTTGTATTCTTTTCATGATACGCTAACGTCGTGCCTATGTCATGTTATTTTAGTGTGAACCATGATAAGCTAACGTCGTGCCTATGTCATGTGTTCATTTTCAAATTTGAGAAACAAGCTAACGTCGTGCCTATGTTTCTCGTTAACAAAGATAGCTAACGTCGTGCTTCCTCTTTGTTGGTTTTGTGAACTAAGCTAACGTAGTGCCTATGGTTCACTGTAAATTGTGTATGTGAATTTTATGATGAAAATCAGTTTCATAACTAATGTTTTTTTTTCCTTGTATGTTTAGGCGCAGATAGCAATGATGATAATGCGGAGTCTACGCCTGAGCAAGCTGCCAATGTCGATACGCAACCCACCATCGATACTTCGCCTGAACCGATGCCTAGCACATCCAGAGCTGCAGAAGCCCTGCAGCCCCAGCCGCAGGAGAACGGGGACGTCCTCCAGTCAGGAGAGGCCGTATTGGCGGAAGAGTGACGTCTTGGCTGTCATCGGAGGGGATGTTGGTGGGAGAAGCTACGGTTGCCTATAAAAGGGCCTGCGCGCTCAGTGGAGTCCTCTTTCTGCGTTGAGTACACATGGTACAAGGGAACCTCTGCTCGTTTGAAGGGTTAAACTGTCTTGTCTGCTATTAATTTTGCGTGTCTTTAGTTTAGATTGATCTATGTTTGTAATTTCAAAATTCGTTATTTAATTAAAATTTAAATTGTTGTTTATTGTAATTGTGTTATTAATAAATAAGATTGTGATTTGTATTTTTTTTAATATTTTCTTCCTGAAGTTGCCAAAAATATTGTTTCCATGATACAAACGATCCGTCTTTTAAATGTTACTATTTTATAGAGTCTTCACCAAGCAGGTTATATTTTACCTACAAGAATTCTACCGCTGCAAAACTTACTTTAACTTCATCACTACTGACTTCACTGGCACGGGTTTCAAAAGAAGTCGCGGAATAAAGTTCTGCCATCTCTTGACTATTTACCAAATCAGTAATATCGGTGTCTTCGTTGTTATCATTAGAATTTGGCAATGACCCAGTGCCTTGTTCAAATATTCTTCCAGGGTATTCTAAAATCTTTTTTTCAATATTTCTATCTTTTCCTTGAACCTCGTTTGGCATTTCCTACAAAATGTATTGACATTTTCTATTTTTTATCATTAACAATTTTAAGTACTACTTTTTCTTTGTATTGTTGTATTTTAATTTTATTAAACACAAGTTTCAATGTTTCTACCATAAAATATGTTCATTGATGTTTTCTAGGACTTCATTTTTTGGTATTTTGAAAACTTTGTCATTATTACACACTAGGTGTAACATTAGTGCCTTTCTAACTTTCTCTTTCCTGATATTTGAATTTCGTTTACCTACCCTATTAGTATATTTTTTTCTTTATTTACTCGACATAACTTTATTATCTTAAGATGTTTTCATTTTATCAATGTTAAGGTTGGCACATGGCTTGAATTATGATTAGGAGTAGTTTGGTTATTTACCTGAATATTTACTCTTTTTTCTAGGCTGTTGAACCAGTTTCCAACACCCTGCAATGCCTGTGAATCTGCTTCCACCTGCAAGAAAAATTTAATTTAATAATGCATTCAACACTATCATTCAACATGTTATGCATATTGTTAAGAATTTTCCCTTTGTTATCCACTACAATTACATCATGAATCTTAACCTTTATGATAAATAAATAGAGTCTTTTATCAGATGCTAAAATATATCCTTTAGGAATGATTCAGAAAATTGTAAATATTTAACCAACCTCAAAACCATAATGATTTTGCACTACGAAAACTACAATCAGAATTACTTGTACGAAAACTACGCGGAACTTCATCGGTCCGTGTGCTCGACTGGAAATGGGAAATGTGACTGAATCAACCATGTTTTGATTTCAACCACTTAACGACTCTAAACAATAATTGTTTACCGTGTTCTTGGTTTAAAAAGTTTCTTTTATGAACTGTGCTTGTAAACAACGTTAGCGGTAAAACATTTTTTTTTATGGAATAGGAGGCAAAAAAGCAGACTGATGTAAGGATGCAGCAACAGAGAAGTCACCAGCGCGTTGCACACGTTTTAAAAAGGAGTACTGTACAGCCCGCGCCAAACTTTGTGACCGCCCTGAATATAGTCACGAGTCCGAACTTGCGCATGGTACAGTCGAGTGGGCAATACGTAATCAACCAATTTTCGTTTTCTACCTTTTTTAATACTGGTTGATTACGTTTAAGCTAATATTGATTATACGCATGTTTCTTGAAACTTTGAAGGTCGTACAGGTTCGGAAATACCACCGCCGAAAGATCATTCCAAAGATTTGATGTGCAAGGCAGAAAATTTCACAAAAATCGTACAATTATTGACTGACAATTCTTTTGTTTCAGTTTTCTCGTTTTTTAAGAAAATTGAATTTTATAAAATGTTTTGTGATGGACTGTTTGGACCCTAGCCGACTAAAATCATCCTTCTCCTGCTCTAGGCCGGGGGGTAGCGTTGATAGCGTTTCTACCCGTAAACTTTAGCCTATTGGTTCGACGCTTCTCTTCTTCTTTGATTTCATTTTATGATTAGATTATAAACTTATCTGCAATAATTTAAAGACACCTTTTAAAGTATCTTAAAAAGCCTAATATGTCGATGGAGTGTAACGTAGTAATTTTGCACCCTTTTGTAGGTTTAAGTCAATGTACATGGTACAAGCCAAGGAATTTGTATGTAAAAGATTATAGAAATAAGATTTAAGTTTGGGAGAGCCATTCTCTGGTACGAATGGAAGGGCTTGAAAAAACACTAGCGTTATGTTTCGGCGAGTGAGTGAGGTTACGTAAGGACCAAACCTTACGATTCTTAATTTACCTAATCGTCGAATCCCTTATCCCTAAAAGGCCGGCAACGCACTCGTTTCTCCTCCGTTGCGGGTGTCCATGGACGGCGCTGATTGCTAACCATCAAGTCTACACGTTTAACCATACAAAAAATCGTCCAATATCAACCATAAAAAAATTATTAATTAAAGCGATAAACTGAAAAGGAGGCCCATTCCTTCCCCTGTTCCAATCCCTCCATATTCCCAAAATCTCCAAACCCATAATCCCAAAAAGGCAGCAACGCACTCGTTACCCCTCCTCTACGTCCTTGCGGGTGTTAAAGGGCGGCGCTGATTGCTTACCATCAGGTAATCCGTTTGCTTTTTTGCCGACCTAAAAAAACCTAACATAAAAAAAGCCTATACCTAAGTACCAATTGCTGAACAAAGGCCTCTTCTTACATGAAGAAATTTTTTGAATATTTTGTGTTAGCTCAATGCGGATTGCTGATTACAAACACATTTCCTCACGATATTTTCCTGCACCATTTATCAATGGTGTATAAAACATTCAGAATTTACTTAGAATATGTCCTATTCGTTATTGGCAGGTTCGTTCCAATCTACGACATCCCTTCTTATAATGTTTCTCCCTATCCTAGACTTAGTAAAACTTTTCTCAACGCAATAATTATGTCTGTTTACTCTTTATTAAAAAACCACTCCATGAAATTTATTATCTATATATTTTTTTACTCATAAGTACAGAAAGAAAATATTGAAATAATAGGTCTTTACCCATGAAATTGCCGTTTTGCATGAAAAAATTTAAACGAATTTTTTGATTTGAAATGCGATATAAATGTAACACTAATCAATTAACAAATGACTACTTTTGGATAAAGAATCCCATGGTTTTAAAACAAAATTAATTAGCCTTAGCCAAACAAAAACTATTTTGATTTGAAATGGCCAGTACTGCAGAACGGCAATTTCATAGGTAAAGACCTATTAAATAAAGACTCAAATTAATTTACAAAACAAAACATACCTAGGTAAACTACCAACAAATCACAAAAACTACCTACTACAAATAATTAAAAGTAAGTTTATCAATGTGTAAAATTCAACTTGCAACCTTCGCGAAATTTCGGAACGTACAAAATTTACGTCGCCCGCGTCCAACACTTGATTAAGGTCCATTCAACCTCGCCAACTGAATCAGCTGTGATTATCACGAATTATCACTGCGCCACCTATCACACTGTCACGTTATTGGAAAAATACAACAAAAACGGGTCAAAGGACCGAAAAATAACAGTAAAAATATAACAGTCCTAAAATGTTTTCTTATTTCATCCTTCCCGGTCATTGACAGCCAGATTTCACACCTAACTGGTAATTATATCACCATCTCTCTCACAAAAACATAACTTCAGCTAAGAGAGACAGAGAAAACAAATAGAAACGGTACATCTTTCTTATGGTACCGGAGTTCAGAGTCAAGGACGAATGCACTCAGAGGTAGAACGAGACAGCAATATAGAAACGACAAGGACAGCAATGTGGTCTCAAGTTGGACCAAAAATGAACGTCGAGTCGATGCTCGTACGCCGAACGCGATATTTGAATTTAAACATCGATTTATTTATTTAGTGTTCTAGTGTAATAAAATACTTGCGTATATTTTCGCGTGTAGCAACATTTTTATAGTCAATGGAATACGTGTTTCCAAAGTACGAGTAACCGGTAAATAAAGTCATGTACTGTCGTATCTCAGTGACGAGCAGTGATTTCCTATAATTATAATTAAAATATTTATAATTTAATAGTAGTTATAACGTGTTTGTGTGTTGGCTGGTGGTAAATACTGGGACATTAAAAAGAAAAAAGGTGAGCTGTCTTTTTTATTTGAATATAGAACTCTGTTCCAATTCTTGGCGCCACGTTACATTTTAAAATTCTTTTATTTTTATTTAATAATATTTTTATTAATAAAATAGGTAACTTAAAACAGCATACATATTTTGTTTTAAAAGTTTTAAGAAAATAAAAATTTTTATTTTATTGTGAAACATTCAATAAGTTACAGTTACCTATTTGTAATTTTAGAGTTATGTTCGTAATTTTTTACGATTTTCCAATTGCCAATGATATGGAATTGTAGAAGTAGCTATAACTTTTTTCTAGTCAAGTACCTACGTTTGCTACAAAAATATTTCATCATCATCATCAGCCGGATTCCTTTCACTGCTGGACATAGGCCTATCTAACTGCACGCCACTAAGCTCGATGTTCAGCACATCTTTTCCAAATTATTTATAAAAAGAAATACCTATATGAAATTACTGCTAATTTTTGTACCTGTTTATTACTATAACTAAGTTTCTTGATACTTTATCAATAATTTTACGGTTACCACAGTTAATCAATTTCTATTAAACATCTTTAGGCATAATCAAACAATTTTCCAGTTATAACCATTTCGTTTGAGTCAAGATATTTTACAGCAAGTTTTTTTTAAATACGTTGGGACAACTAGGATTTTCTCCTTTGTCGTGGGTGCGCGTGGGTTAGAAACGTAAAATATGACATACACATCACACCCAGGCCTGAAACAATTTGTGGATCACACAAAGAGTTGTTCCATGCAGGATTGAATCTGCGACACGTTGCACAGCGTTGGATATCAGAAATATGGCAGAAGGTTAAATAAATAAGCTTCTTATTTTACTAAATTAACTAAAATTCGCGGGTTACTCACGTGTAAATGTTGAGAAAAGCTCTACTAGTTTCGAACCACAGAGGGGTTCTTCCTCATGAGCAGCGTGCGCGGACGCGGCGACGTCGCGCAGCCTCTCAGGCTGAAGAAGAACCCCTCTGTGGTTCGAAACTAGTAGAGCTTTTCTCAACATTTACACGTGAGTAACCCGCGAATTTTAGTTAATTTAGTATGTCTCACGATAGTTCTTATTTTACCTTTGAAAATTTAAGTTCAAATTAATGACTACCTTTTCTTGAAGGGGGGAAATCATGATATGAGTTCTCTCGCCTTATTTGAGGTGGGAAGTGTCATAGTCTTACTCTTACTGACTAAAAGCCATCGCATTCCTTCTCCTGCTCCAGGCCAAGGTCACGGTACATGTTTTGAGCATGACCCCACAACCCCTACCTACAAAAATTTTACTTAAATCAAAATCTCAAAAAAAAAAAATCCTTGACCTAGACCTCACACGCAATGTTTCTAACTGTATACAAATTAAGTTTATCGTGTAAATTAATATTAACTTTAAAACCACATTTAAATAACAATCTTATAATCTTGTACTTAAGTATAATTTTTCATGACACAAAGTTACGATGCACCGTTAAAACCGCAGACCACATTACGGCATAGGATTCCATAAAATGTTTGAATGCAAATTTATTCCTTGAATCCTAAAAATATACTAATAATATAATTATAAAGTTTGTTTGTTCACATCAACTTTCACAAAACGTACCGTTATTTCACAATTACTTTTTTTTATTGTTGCACCACACTCCTGTTTGCTTATCCAGATCATTTCACATCCAGATAAATAGGCAAACGAGCAGGCGGATTATCTGATGGTAAGCAGTCGGCACCCGCAACGTCAGAGGAATTCAGCCGGGGTTGCGGGGTAAGTGCAATGAGGCACCCCGACTTCGGCCCAGAGCAGGAGAAGGAACAGGAGGGTGTTTAGTCAGTAAGAGACTGACACTCCCTCCCGCCCGACCCTGATAAGTCATATGATGATTTTCCCTTCACAAAAAAAAAACGCCATTGGAGTTGCGAGTACATTACTGACCTTTTAGGGATTAGAGTATCGGATATTTAGGGATTTGAGGGAAATTGAGAAGGAGCCCCTGGTAACCTCATTTACACGGCGTGTGACTCACATAATGCTGTAGTTATTTCACGCCGGTTTTCTGTGAGACCGAGGTATAACTTCAGTCAAGCCGACCCATTCGTGCCGAAGCTTGGCTCTTCCACACATTTACGAGCGAGAATCAAACCCACGACGTTGAATCAAAAGTTGTTTCTTATTGTTATTCTTGACACAATTACCTACTTCATAATTGATATTGTAAGCAAAATAATAAGGAAGTCTTGCCTTCAATATTTGAAATATAAAAATAATGAAGTAGGCTGTCAATTGTTATTTTGCTGATACGAACAAAATTAATTGAGTTCAAGAAATCGTTTAAACGCTAATTTTGCAGCGTTTGAATTCATATACTATATGTGTTGTCTTATGAGTATTTATAATTACATTAATAAGTTAACAGATTTTAAACATCGTACTGCATATTATAAAGTAATGAACTCAAAAGCTTAAGTCAAATGCAATGTCAAAGTTTTTTTTTTTTTTTTTTTTTTTTTTTTTTGTTCTTGGAGAAGGCTTACGGACTAATCACAATATTATAAGTAACATATTACAAAAACTTAAATTGCCAATAACAAGCCTCCACAGATAATTTCAACCTATCGATATTTACAAGTTTAATACAGTCTTTATACCCTAGGTACCTTCAGTTTGAGTGTTATTGCTAGCCAATTACATATATCACAAATTTAGTTAAAATTTAAATAATTATTCGCAAAAAAATAATTTTGCCAAACGTCGCCTTACCACGTTCGATTTTGTGCAAAAAAGGTCTATGTCAAGATCCCGCGGTAGTGAATTAAAATTACGTGCACTACGTGAGAAGAACGCGTTACGTCTATATTTCGTGGAAGCAAAAGGTACGTGAAGCAGCGGTCGCTGCCGGAAACCAATTTGATTGGTACGCAGCTGTACTTTGCCTAGTAGTTCAGGACAGTCGACCGCTCCATTCGCGATATTTATTAGGAAACATACGTCGTTGATTTCACGTCTTTTTTCCAGGGGTAAAAAGTGGTACCTCTTACAACGATGAACATAATCATCCGACCATTGCTGTGCCTTGTAGTCTAAATATCTTAGAAATTTACGCTGAACCCCCTCAATACGTGTCTTATAAATTTCATATTGTGGGTTCCAAACCTGGGACGCATACTCTAAGTGACTGCGTACGAATGAGCAGTATAATATCTTAATAGGCTTTAATGATCGAAAACAGGCTGTAGTTCTCATTATGAAACCAAGGGCCCTAGATGCTTTATTCACAATGTTATCAATATGTTGGTCGTATAGTAACTTACTATCTTGTGTGATTCCAAGATCTTTCATTGTAACAACTTTGCTGATGCTTTCACTGTTAATCTTATATTTGGAATCTATTACATATTGTCGACGTGTGAAGGCCACATGATAGCATTTTGCTACATTTAATTGGAGCTTATTGCATGTGCAGTATGCAGCAAATCTGTTAAGGTCCTCCTGTAGTAATTGTGTATCACTTAAATTACGTATGGCTTTGTGTACCTTCATATCATCGGCATAGAGTATTATATAAGAGTGCTTAAAGCACTGCCTAATATCTGAAATGAATAAATTGAATAATAGGGGTCCCAAAATTGAGCCCTGTGGCACGCCCGAGGGGATTGTGCACCATGCTGACGTGTATCCGTGAAGTACCACAGCCTGAGTCCGATAGTTAATATAAGAAGTGAACCAACGAAACAGGTCACCGTGTACACCGACTGATAGTAATTTCTCCAAAAGTACCCGATGATCTATACGGTCAAAGCACTTACTATAATCGGTATAAATCACGTCGACCTGTGCGTGTTCTTCCATACCTGATGTTATGTATTCATGTGATAATATAAGATTAGTTGTCGTTGAACGCTTTTTAAGAAAGCCATGCTGTTCATCTCCAAAGTTAAATTGAAGTGCCGGGTAAATGTCATTATATACTAATCGCTCCAGTATTTTTGAGAATAAACATATTTTGGATATAGGTCGATAATTTTTAATATCTGATTTATCACCTTTCTTAAAGACTGGAGTGACAAATGCCGACTTCCAAATTTTTGGCACATACCCCTCACTTAAAGAACGTCTAAATAAAATACATAAAGGCTCCACTACGCTATCAGCACAATTAACTATAAAGATGGGTGGTATAAGGTCCGGGCCACCTGATTTGGAGAGGTCTAATGTCTTTAACAATTTTAGCACATGTGACTTATCTACCTCAATATTACACATAGACATAGTCCCATCCCCACGGCAAGTACTGTTAAAAGAAATGTTTGGATCTGGTTCTTGGAATGTGGAATAAAAATAATTAGCAAACAAGTTGCTAATCTCCTCACCAGAATGCGCTGTTATGTCGTTATACTGCATTACATTGGGTAACGTGCCAGTTTTCCTCCTACTCTTAACATACGACCAGAAAGCTTTAGGATTTTTTATTATGGATGATTCAATTTTATCTATATAAATGTTGAAACATTTTTTATCCATATCCTTTGCCCTAGTACGTAATATAGAAAATGAGTGATAATCAGATAAGTTGCTGTATTTTTTATATTTTTGATGATATTTATATTTTTCTTTTAGAATTTTAATTAAGGCCGAGTTATACCAAGGAGGATAAGTGGAAAACTTTGTTGATTTCAATGGTATGTGCTTATCTCTTACTTCATATAATTTATTGTAAAAATTTGCTACGGCGTCCTCAATTGACGTATAATCTTTATGCAGCAATGGGGTCCAGTTTACATTGTTAAGTTCGGACGCAATGGCTGAGTAGTCACCGATGGAGTAATGATACCGATTAGTTATATTGTAGTCTAACTTATGAATTTCTACGAACTCGGCAAGAATAAGTAGCGGTTTGTGATGTGAATCAATGGGGATATCTAATGGGTCAGTATTTTCAGTAACACGCACGATATCATTAGAAAAAACGAGGTCTAAAAGTCTGTCATTAACGTTGCG